GGAACAAGAGGCGAATACCTGCCAAGGGGATGTAATCGAGAAGCTCTAGACATTGTTTATCTTCTTGCCAGAGTTCTCGTTCCTGGGGGCTGTGTGCGTACTCCCGTTTGTTCCAGCCTAGCAGGACAGCTAAGAAAAGTGCATCATTTTCTTCTGGTTCTCCATTCTGCTGTCTTCGTGTTTGACAAAGGAAAAAAAAAAGAAATTTCTTTAAACATAATATTTTGGCTATAAACGAAGCAATGGGTGGTATTTTTTTTTTTGGTGCGATAATGATGTAGGCCCTACACTTTGTCATCACTTGTAAAAAATAACGTCTTGTCTCCCTTGTAACACTCTCCACACAAACCCCATTTTAATGAAGTATTTTTATTATTTACAGTTTTCTTTAATTCAGTTTCATTTCTAACGGGAATACCCGATCTAAAATTAACGAAGCCGCACGCTGCAAGAAATTATCTTTCTAATCTTCCAGAGCGGAGAGCTTCAAGATGTATGGAATACCATTGCGGTCTTGTTACATAAAAAGTTAACCTAGATCAAATTTTCTTAGTATTCCGTAAATCAAATAACACACAGGAGGAAAAGTAGAGTGTTTAGACTATTTTTATTTTATAAACATTTGTGTGTGTGTGTGTGGGGGGGGGGGGGGGGTGTGACGTAGCCTACTATAGTCGTTACTATGCAATTGCTTTTTTTAATGCTGTTATTGAATTGTTGTTTTATTTGTTTATTCTAAAACGGCCAATGTGAAAAAAGGCCTTCCTGCCTACTATTGTTACCGTAATTGAATAAATTGAAATTAAATTGAATACTATTTCATAATGTTAAAAGTTAATAAAAAAAATAAATAAAACGCAAAAAAAAATGTTGTCTACTGCTGTAGAGTGAATAAGCAAAGTGACGTCATTTATGGCGGTTATATGTGACGTAGTAAAACTGAATGACGTCATATACGGACGAGTTTTAAAAACGAAGTGTTAAACTGATGTGGCGTGTTGAAAAAAAAACGTGAACACATAATTTACACACAATGTTAAAAACATAATGTTAAAAATTGTAAAATAGTATCAATAAGTTGCTACAATTAAGTAAGGTGCTCGTTGTTAATATCCGCCGTTAGTCTACTTGTTTAGTCCCCCAAACCCGCCCCCCTCCTTCCCCACTGTTAGACCTATTTACAAGTGAGGGGTTTGTAACATACGTATACAAAACTATATCGGTATATTTTCAGGACTGGCTTATTTATAGGACACACAAGGTTCTTAGTGAGTTGAGCTCTCAGAAACTCGACGGATTAGCTGTAGAAATGACGTCAGTGATCCTAATCTCGCCGCTCCGTTGCCAGGAAATGCAATCCACAAATGCCATTTTTTAAACTCATTTTGTAAATGTTTTTTTTTTTTAAATAGGCATATACCATGGTCTGAGATAAAGCTATCTATATGATTTTTACCGTGGTCTAATAATTTAAGTAAAACAAATGTACAAGACACAAACATTGCTGACGATAATAAAAAACAAAACAGTTTTATTCTTCTAGAATAGATTTCTAATGTTTTAGGCCCGCCTCCTTTGACTAATCTTCCACCCCCTTTAGTAAAGTCTCCCTACTCACGGACTTGCAAGCGTGTCAACCCATTTTTTAGTCATCTAGGGGTGACAGCCCAAGATGGATCGTACCCCATTGCGGCATTTCCATTCACTGGATTCCCACATTTTATGAATTATAACTCAACGATTTTCTTCTATTTTTCTCCCGTTTTTTGTGATTCGCCCTTCCATTTCTAGGCCGTAATTAATAATATTCTGCAAAACTGAGATTATTATTATTATTTTTTTTATATTTTTGGAAATAATTTTTTCTACGATTTTGCATTGGAACATCCATCAATATCCATTGGAAAAAAAACAACGTAAAATCGTAAAATAATAACAGAGATTGACTACTGGATAAACTTGTTTTTAGATATAATTTTTTGAAAAAATAAAGCGTCAAGTAATATATGTTATGTTATAATTTTAGCATAATCTCTAAGTGTGAATGGCGTCTGCTTGTTGTCGGCTTACAGTGATGAGTTAATGGCCCTTATCTGCTGCTGACTTATGTGAGCATCAGCCCGTCACCTTAGGCACTCAACAACAGATCGTGTCGTAAATAGTTCACGTTTTTTTGACGTGGCATTTTTACCAATAAATAATGCAGTATAATTTTTATCTCGATTTGATCCTTCGCGTACTGTTTTTTTCCCCCCCGCCAAAAATTTTAATTAGGATAGTCTGAGCGGATATTCGCTCAAAATGAGGTGGATAACTGTGGATAACTGTAGAATTTTTGTGTTTGCCCGCGGCAATATTCCACTAATGAGCTGCTAATTTCCTGATAACGTTACGCTACACCCCTAAATAAACATAGCGCCCGTCCTGGTGGTGAATGGCTCCTATTTCGATGGGGAAGAAATTCTGGGGGAAAAATATTTTATTTTTATTAAGGCTTTGTGGTTAATGTTTTTTTAAAAAAAAATCTATTCCAAACATTTTGTCAAAGAAAATTGCGTCTTTCAGTATGCTGGTGATCATTAGTTTAGGCTCAAAACCAATCAGATTTGTGGTTTCAATTTTAGTTTTCAAATATTCTAATGCGCGTTCATGTGTCCGAGGTTCCTATTGGCTACTTATTTATACAAGCGCGCGCTATTGGCCTACATTTGAAACAGCAATTCTAAACAATGTGTACTGAACTTTTTTGCAAACATTGTGACATGGAGTTTTCCGATTGCAAGCGCAGTATATAGATCTAGAGAGATCTAGATCTAGAGTCTAGACTCTATGATCCAGAATAAAAGTGTGAGTTCACTAGGGCGATGTGTGTGTATGTGAGGTATGTGAGTCAGTGAGCGAGTGGGTGGGTGGGTGGGTGGGTTGGTAGGGTGAGTGAGCGAGTGAATAAATAGTCCACTACTCTGGAATGAGAGAAGGTGGATAGAGCATCCTATCGGGCGTAGAGAGGAATGTTACCGAACATACTATATCTACATACATCTACATAGGTACCAGTTCATGAAGTTAGGTCAAGAAGATATAGATCTAGTATTAGTAATGGATAGTTGTTACCCTCGCATTCACAATTTTTATAAAGTGTTGCCTCCTATTACTTTTATACTTTAGTTCAGACAACAAGCACAAGCCTGATTTAAAATAGACAACCATTATCTGGAGCGTGTGTTTAAATTGTCTTTAATAGTTCATTCGAAATGAAGGTGTATGTGTGGTGTGTGTGCATGCGTGTGTGTGTGTGGGGGGGGGGTGAGTTGAGAATTTGAATGTAATACTGAATTAGACAGCACACGTGATAGGTCTACTCTGAGTAGATGGGCAATAACATGCAACCAGCGACTGTTTCTTATACAAACTTTGTGTTTTATTTTTGCACGTTAACAAAAGTAGGCCCTAATAACCCGGACCAAACCCACGCACATCTTTTCTAGTCTCCTACGGAGGGATTCCTTTTAACGTGTTATATTTGCTATATACCAGAACCACATATTGACAAGTTGTCTAAACCCCCTGCTGCACCAGATATTGACAAGTTGTCTAAACCCCTATTGCACCAGATATTGACAAGTTGTCTAAACCCCCTACTACACCAGAAATTGACAAGTTGTTTTAATCCACTCAGTACCAGTTATTTGAAAAACCTTTTAAGAGATAATGAACCAACTCGCTTTGTGAACTGTTTTTCCGACATTAGTTAATTTAGTAGCTTAGCGTATTTTTTTAGTGATTAGCTGCTCCGCGGCTTTGAAAATATAACCATTGTCACACTCATTTAGAAGATATTACGTGCCTTTGTATAAATTATAATATACTGGTGGTCACTTTTATGTATAAAACATGTAAGCCTTCTTAAAAACGTAAACATAGATCTAATTATTTATAGGCCTACTCTCGACATATATCGTTTAGTATCTGTAGGCTACTTATGAAAGCTTTGCCGCTGTGTTAGTTGTGTGTTTTGACAAGGGCTAGCTTCAGTAATGAATTCAAGACAGCAGTTGGCCTAGATCTATTTCTTTAAAACTCTACTATTATACTCAGTTACCATGGTGACAAAATAGTACACATAACAACTCACCAACTGAACAAGACGATTACGGTGTGTAACTATTGGGTACGTGAGGATACAAGTGATGGGGGGGGGGGGGTGAAATTCACCTCAGCATGAGGACATAAGCGGTAATAGCATGCATTGTAGCAGGCAGTTTGACAAATCGCTGGTGTTTTAATACACTTGGCCTGGCCATAAATCAGTGAAGGAATTGACAGGCGGGCACGAGAATGGAACGGGGGAGGGGTGGGTGGGTGGGAGGGAGAGTAGAGTGAAGACCAAAAACAACAGTATGGAGAAGAGCGATTACGAGAGTCAGGGAGGGGGTGGGGGAGGGGGGTAGAGGATGGGAACATTAATTACAGTTATTTGCTTGTTGCCAATTTGGGACAAGTAGCAGATGCCCCCCCCCCCCCACCCCTTCCCCACTCCATCAACCCCTCCACACTACATCACTCTTCAATAATAAAAACACAAAGTGTTAACCAATGTTTGCTACGTAAATCCTTAACCATCACCTTTCTCATTCATCCTTGTTTTTGCCTACCATTCTAACACGCTACACATAGAGATAAATATAATACATGCTTGAATTATCTAATACATATGTTCTTTCATATTTGATCTTAAACAATCCATCCTGGTTCGTTAGTATATTATTTCATAGATACGATTATCTAATATCTAATATAGTGCTCTAAATATTAAATATAGGCCTACTTATACAAATTTAGCAATCCTACTTATACAAATTTTAAATTTAGCCTATAAATTTATAATTTATAGGGTTATATCAATTTTTAGGAAGTCAAATCAAATGTATATTATTAGATTTCTCACAAAGACAAAGGAAATTTAGAAAAGTAAAATTTTTGTTTTCTTTTCATTTCAGGCTTTGGGTTTATCACATTTGAATCTGAAGATGTTGTTGAAAAGGTTGTTGAGATTCATTTTCATGAGATCAACAGTAAAATGGTGAGCACTTAAACATCTTACTTTGAGATAGTATTCTTTTACATCAGTAATTTGTAACTTTGTATAATTTTTTAATTTTGTGTTAATTTTTTTTTTTTAGATACTACAAAAATGTGTTTCTGTTTAACATTGTGAAATAGAATGAATGATAGAAAATTGCTTACAACTTTACTGCATTGCTACATTACTTAGTCTTTGATCAAATAAGTTTTTATAAAACATTCAAGTCACTGTGAGATATTAACCTGTGAAATTAAAAAAAAAAATGACTTGATTGCTTATATAAAACAATATGAATTTCTGTATGTCTAAAAACATTTCTATCATTAAAGTTTGATTTATGATTTGGGCTAGGATTATTATTTGGTACAGGTATTGTTATTGTAGATTACATAAACAGGCAGGCTGGAATTGATTCAGTAGTTTTATGTTGTGCTTTAATGAATACATGTTTTATATTGTTTAAAAGTTGTTACAATTAATGAATACAAATTTGAATTGTCTAATTAAGGAGTATATATATTTTGATTCGTTTGTTGAATAGATATTTTGATTGCCTGTTGAAAACATGTTTTATTTACTTGGTGAATACATGTTATGTTTATCTCTTGAATACATGTTTTATTTACTTTTTGAATACATGTTTTATTTACCTGTTCAATACATTTATTTACTTTTGGAATACATATTTACTGTTAAATACATGTGTCATTTACTTTTGGAATACATATTTACCTGTTGAATACATGTGTTATTTATGTGTTGAATGCAAGCTTCAAACAAGATTCATGTTTTACATTCCCAGGTTGAATGCAAAAAGGCTCAACCCAAAGAAGTGATGGCCCCTACAAACCCACTAGCCAGAGGTCGCGGCATTGCTCGAGGTGCCCTTGGTCAGTACAGCGTGATATTTGCCCTATGACGTATATGCGCCCTCTATTTCACTATAGGGCTACCCTCCAGCATTGACTGTTTGCTTTGATAGGACGTATTGCCATACACAGCTCTCGTATTTCCATACACAGCTGTTGTATTTCCATACACAGCTTTCGTATTTCCATACACCGCTATATGATTTTACTTCCGTGCTCCGCTATACGATGTTATTTTCATTTTTTGCTATAGGATGTTATTTCCCCACTCCACTATAAAATGGTATATCCATACTCAGATATAATTGGTCATTTAATTACATTTCTAGCTCACAAAAAGATGCCTGTTGGGCCCCTAATTTTCCTAGAGGTTTTTTTTTTCATTAGTCCAAATTGAATTAATTTCTCTAGCATTGTGTGGACTTTTTAAAATTGTTCCCACTCTCTAAGCAAAAAAAATTTTGGTTTTTTTTTTTTTACTTAACTAAAAAAAAAAGCATTTTTCAAAATTATTACAAATAATAAAATTAGGAACCAATTTCATTACAGGAAAATTTTATTATTGGGTAGACTTAATTTTTTAACACAACTTATTTCAGTTAAAAAGGGGGGTTAATATTTCCTGTTTTTTTTTCTGTGATGGTGGGTGGACTATCAAAGCAAATGTTATGATGTGTTGGAAGTCCTATGTTATTGTGATGTGTAGCCTCTGTACTTTTATAACCTGTTTTTTATTCACATTTTTATGGTAATGAGCATCATCTAAAAGAGTGTAGGCGCATGCTTATATATATAGAAATTCGTTAGGTAGAGATAGTTTCTATTAATAAAGTAATAACTGCTGTAGCTGCAACGTTTTTTGTGTCGGCACTGCCATTTTTGAGAAGCTTTATATTCTTATTTGAGGAAAAAAACAATGATGATGAAAACTCAGTTTGCTTTGCTGATATTGGGTTGTCTGCACCTGTTTTTTTAAAAGTGTGATTAGAAAACCGAAACAAATATAAATTATGTATATTTTTACAGACAAGATTTTTAAGTCACTTTTTCTCTGAACTTTAAATGAGATTTAATTTAAAAAAAAATCCAAATAAAGAAAATAGAAAATCAAATTATATAAAGGAGGCAAGATATAAATGCTCATAAATAAATAAATATATTTATTATATCGTGTAGTGAGTGGCTTAACATTAATATATCATTTAGCGTTGGTGGTGGTTTCTCTGCATAAACTTAGCTTAGGAATACTTTTTGTGAATTACTGTTGTATTTTTTTATATTACCAGTTTTTTGTGATGCAACAGTTGCCTCCATGTTCCTTATCTCCACTTCAACAAAATCTTTTAAATTGCATAAAAAGTGTTGAAACATTTTTTCAACGTATACATTTTTATATTTAATGGACAGAAATTGAGTTTTTTTATTGCTCTGTAAGTTTTCAGTAGATAGTGTATGTAAGTGTTAATTACTAACAAATTACCTATTTGGGATTTTATTAACGTTGTGCAGCTTTAATTAAAAAGCATCTAGTGGGAGATTTAACTGTCAATACAATTTACTACAGCAAATTTTAAATTTTATCCATTTACATGTCGAACTTTTAAATTTACATTTAATTTTTTTTTAATTCATGTATTTAGTAAAATAAGATTGACATTTTGCGGCCGACTTTTTTGAAAAAATAGGTTAATTATTATGATAGGAATAAGTATGCGTCTTACCTCTTTCTGATGTTTCATTATATATATGTAAGGAATATTTTTTCCTGATCAAACCAAACTCCTGTCTCAGAGGCTAGCAACACAATCTGAAATGAAATAGAGGCCTATAATGAATTAGGCTTATCCAATCGCTGTCTGACATTTTGTTTTATAACTTTACTCATGTTATAAATTAGCTTAGCACACTTTTTCATCAGAATATTCTATAATTTCATATCAAAGATAATATATTTTTGTTTATTGTTAATTATTTTTCTAAAAACATTTTTTTTTAATTTTTAATTCAAATAATGTATTTTCAGTTAGTAACAAGTATAGCTAAATTTTTTTAAATTAGTTAATACTCAGATTGCAATGAATTAAAAGTTTTAAATAAAAATTTTAGCTTAATCTCAGTTACTGATAGTTTTATTTTTTTTAAATAGTAGAAAATTGTGGAATATTTTCAATTAAGAATACAAAGACATGAGGTAATTAAGGTGGATGAGTAGTTATTCAGTACTTATCTAACATATGTACTGTGAGTCTAGCTACCTTCCTCTCTCATTCATTCTTTAGTGACTGAGGATGGCGCGATATTCTATACAGATTCCTTGATTGGCGAAGAAGCCCTTATTCCAGAAATATGTAAGTGATTTTTTCAGCTTGAACTGAGAAATGTTTAAATATGATTTCTTTCCAAGTTTCATTTTTTTTCTCTTTACAATTTTTTATATAGGGGAGCTGCTGTTCTATAATAAGCACAACTATCAACTTTCACTTTTTTATAAGTAGAGATTAAAAATGTGTATAAACTTTTAGGTCAGTTATTATTTTTATATAAAAAAAGTATTACACATACATTTCATTTCATTATGTTCTTGAATAGGAATTAGTGTAATATATTCACATACTAGAAATAATAAGTTGATTTTTCAAGCAATAAAAATCAGAATTAGTCTACTTTATTTGCATTATTTGTTTGCTTGACTAACCTGGTACAAATTTAATATTACATTTCATAACATTTTTTGAGACTTTTAGCAACAAGTTTTTAAAAGTTTAAATTTATCAATTTAATATTTAACATTTTTCAATATAATATTCACAACTCATTGTGTTCATTAACTTATGTGAAAAATTAGAATATTTATTTTATTTACTAGTATATAGCTAAAGGAATTTCCTTAAAATGTTTACATTATTTTGTTACAGTTTTTGGACTAAATTTAATAAGTTGAAATACAATCATGCTTTGTCATAGTTTGTTTTAATATATAAGTAAAACCTGAGTGTTAAATGCATTAGGTAAGTTAATTACAAATCCACAATTTGTTTACCGAAAAAGTCATAAATTCAAATCAGTATCTTGAAAGATGTTGATTTTCATAACACAAATTTGTTATAAGAAAATATATCTCTAGCATTTGCTTTATTACGGCTTTTTTGTTGCATGCCCAGCTTAGTTTAACTATAGAATATTATTCATAGATTTATAATTAAGCCTACTATATATAGAAAACAGCTATAATTGTTTTACCTTACCACAATGAGATATTAGCTTCTAAAATACATTTCTTTATTATTCATTACATTACATTTAGAAACTGTTGAAGTTTCAAATGTCAAAACATTTCTTTTCTTGTTGAAATTTATTCCAATCTTTCATTTTGGATTATGTTTCTAAGATGAAAAGAAGACATTAAAAAACATTTAATATAATTATGTGATTCAAATCTTGTTGCATGTATTTGCATGAAGTGAAAAATCAAACTAATTACTTCCAAATAATATAAAAAAATAATTTAGTTGAGATCCCTGCTTTACTCATTTAAAAAATGTATTTCAACAAATTGTTTTCAACAACATAGTATATTGAATGAATATAATTAATTATGACAAAGCTAATGCATTTATACTTTATGACCGAATTTCTTATTTTAATAATTATTTTTTTAATTATCTCCCTTAATTTACATAATTTTTTTTTATGTGTTGATGATATTTTAATTATTTAAAATTGTTTGAATTAATCAATCTAATTCTTTATTTTTTTAAATTACTTGAATTTTGTCTGATTTTCTGTTAACTCTGATATTTCAAACATGCTATGTAAAAAGAGTTGAATTAAGTTCTAACTTCCTTCCATCCACTCTTCTTCTTCTACAGGCTACATGCACCCGGGCTTCCCAGGATTTGCTGCGGCGGCGGCCTACGGGAGAGCAGGCTTTCCCCCAATGACCCCTGGCTACATCACATACCCGACAGGTATGGAGCTTTTGCATCTGACCTCATGGTACCCGGAAGCCCATTTAGGCTTCTGAATACTTCTCTCAGCAGGTCCCATAGGCAGGTGGAATTTCTGAAGCAGATTGAGAGAACAGAGCAGAAGGAGCTGGCATTAGAAAACTTCAGATTTACAGAAGAGAGAAACGGATGATCAAGAATTGAAGACTCAACCTGAAACAGAGAACTCTTTCAACAGCAAGACAAAAATAATTTATTTAGTTGTTTCCCTTTTTTTTCCATATCTATAATAAAGGACATGTATTTGCTTAAAAAAGTCACTGAAATTATAAATGTCCATTATTATTTTTTTTCACTGCTTTTACAGTTTATAACAGTCCAAAACTAAAAATAAATCTAATTTGAAATTCTTAAAGTTCATGCAGCAGTATTTGTCAGAAAAGCTGCAAGATATTCTACAACATTTGATTCAGCTACTTCCCCTTCATTTAGTTCTCCAAGCTCTGTACATATAATAATTGTTCGTCGTTTATATATTATTTTATATATATATATATATACATATACATATAAATATTTTGTAAATGTAGGGTCACCTACACTTGCAAGACATACTCAATGCAAAATGTGACCTGGCTATGCGCTAGGAAAATCTTCCAGCTTTTTAATTTTTATTTCATGTAAATCATTTCTATACATAATGTAATTTAAAACAAACAAAAAAGGTTTTAAACCACGAAGTATCAGTTGCAAAAAATATTTGAATTTAAAGAAGCAGCGGACTTTTGTGCCTGAATCATGACAATTTTAATAAGTATTTTTATAAAAATAATTCTGATGAAAAGAATTTCATTATTAATGTAAAACTTTCAGCGTTCAAAATTTAGGCTTATGTTTTTTCTAGACTTTGACTAGTTTTTTTGTATACCAAACATAAAATTTAAAATTAATGTAATAATTTTTAAAACTAATAAAAATGGATTAAATATCCTAAACTTATTAAAAACATGATTTTATTTTAAACCATCACCGAGAATAGGTAAATAGTTCAATTCATGTTAAACAGAAATAAGATGCGTCTAAATCAAGTGTGCGATTAGCTAGCCAATGCATGTAGTGCTGAGTGTAGCTTTTTAAGTTTTCTCCCGTATATAATGCTTCAAAAATATATTGATTTTCCTTTTACATGAAGAAAACTGCTTTTTTAGTGCCATTGTTATTTTTGCCTAATTTCAATATTACTCATGTTTATTTGAAGTGAAATAGTTTTAACAAATTTATTAAATCAGATACTTTCAACAGTCTTTTTAGTTAGAGATTCAGCTTTGGTAAAATTTTTTTTTAAATTTACGTTTTTACCAAGGAAAATAGTAATTTTAATGTTTATTATCCGAACCATTGCATTTATATTGTATTTCATTATTTATTTTAGTTTTAGATATGTCCATCAAATTTGACATGCAAAACTGCATTAAAACTTATATAATTCTAAAGTTAGCTGGGCCAAAATTGACAAGAAAGCAATACCCTGTTGAGTACTGCCTTTTAAAAGTATTTTTTGATGTGTAAATATTTTACTTTTATATTTGGAATCAGGGTAGCAATTATGTTTTATTTATTTCATTTTTCAACTTCTTCCAATATGTTGTTTAAGGAAGCTAAAACCTCATTAAATATACCCTCACAACTGCCTGTTTATCTCTACACACCAATTAATTAATTAATTCCTTAATTAACTTTTCATCACCTGAGGTTATCTATTTCATAAACAACAGCCGTGTCACATTAACAGAAGCTCAATGTTCTGTGTCACTCTCCCCTCAGAAGGTTTACATTTGTCAACTATTTGAATGGTTATGTTCACCATTGTCTTGTGGTTTTCTTTGACTGGTGTTTCTGTGAGGCTTGGGTCAGTGTGACTCCTCTTCCAACTTGCCCAGGAGCACTGGGCCACAGAATACACCAGTAGCACTGAAATAAGTCCAAATAAAATCTCTGGAATTGTTCTGAATATAATTTTATTTTTCAGCTTTTCTTTTGCCCAACAATGTTTTTTTTTACATAGGAATACTATTGTAAATACATTTTGACAATTATAAACTACTTTATTTGAATATTTTAGCCCCAAAATTTTTTTTTATTTTAACACTTAACTTAAATAATATCAATGGAAATGGCTTAAAGTTAATTTGTATGTAGATTCCACAGATGTTTTAAAATGATCTCCAACTTATTTATTGAATTTGAAATTTTTTAACAAATGTTGCAATTTATACATATATACTGCGAAATAAAATGCATTAGTATTTAAAATACTTTTAGAAAAATAATTAAACATACAATAATTAATAAAAATTATGACACTGCTTATCTTTAAGGTAATTTTTTTTTCTAAAACATCTGATTCGCTGGTTGTATTGTATTTTAATTAAATTTCTAAATTATTTGCAGCATGTCCCACACCAATAACAAACTCTATGTATTGTTTAATGTAATATTTGTACTCAATGTCTCATCACCCATCTACTTTGTGATACCCTGTATTATAAAATGATTCAACTTTTCATTGTGCTATCTTTTTTGTCTTCGCAAGATGTGTAACTCTGCCGGCTTGTTCACTTGGGCAGACAATCCAGTTTTTTCAACCCTGTGACTTTTTTATACCAGTTATTTTTTTTTTTTTTAATATCACTCTCATGAATTTATTTTATTGTGTAGTATATTGTAGTCAACAGATAATCTATTATTCAAGAATTGCAGTAGTATTTCTTAGATAAAAGCAGAAGGATTAGGAAATTAGTCATTACATTGATACAGACTGGAGTAGATTACTGAAATTTTAGTTGCTTTGTAAATTCATTTCTGCTCATTTATATATTGTTTTTACATTAAGTAAAACCTTAGAAGACAAATTATTTCTTTATGCTTCTTATATTAATAATGAAGGTAACAAATTATTTTCTCGTTAGACTTCTTTATAACAGAGTTCATTAAAAAAATTAAAATGTCCTACTTTTCTGAAAGCAAAACATATTTTTTTACAATATATTTGCCAGACTAAGTCGATCAAATATCAATATATATATATTTTGATAAATATATTCTATTTCACTATCTCAACTTGTACTTCACCAAAATTGATGTTTCAAGCAAAACTGCTTTTCAAAAAGGAAATAAATTCATTATCGATCTTTATTTATAAACTATTCTATTTATATTTTTCAAGCCATTTAACATTTGATGGTACTAATGCATCTTTCAAAGTGTTGAACTCAACTGATGAGCCTGTTGACCGTTTGTCATGAGAGAAGTCAGTTACTTCACTGTGTCCTCTTTTACTGAAGCAATAATAAACTTGCATTAAAAAGGGCATATCTAATGAAATACCAGTTTCCTGTTTGTTTATATTGGTTACAGAAAAAAAATAATACCTATTTATTTTTGTAGTCATTTCAGTATTTTAAAACAAAAGTTTAGGATATTCTACATTATTAATATAATTTTATTTATTTTACATACAGTATTTAAATATTTTTTTTTAAGTATTACAAAAGCTCATCATAGCTAGCTAAAGGCATTTTTTGTTTTAAATTATCAAATTTTTAGAATAACTAGCAATTTACCAATTTTATTCTGTAAATAATGAACACCTCCGTCGTGCTTGTAAAATGGCAATGATACAAATTTTATTGTAGAGGTAGAAACATTCAATGAAAAGTTCAGTGACGATTCCTGTGATATCAAAATGTATTGCTGTTCTCTGCCCCCTCTAAAACTTACCTCATGTAAATGTGTATTTAATCAATGTTTAAACAATCAAAGCCTTCTGTTGGCCACTATGTAAACTTGTGTACTCTCTGCCCTCAATTTTTCTTTTAAGCATTTTTTTTCAAATTTTAGGTAGAAATTGTAATATTTTTTTATTCAAATGGGCTTAGCATATAGTTTTAGAATATCGAACATGTTTACAATTAATTGTTAATTTAATATTTAGAGGACAAAAAAACGTACTGTTTTTTTTTTTTAAATCTAAAATTTAAGAGGATTAGTTTTAGTTTAGATTAGTTTCAAATGAAGAGAAGCAACATTTAAATTATGAACAAAATATTTAAATGGACCATGGTGTTCATCTTAACTTTTCCTTGAACATAAATTATGCATGTTGCAAAACAAGTTTGTATAATATTTTTAATATTTTACAAATCACACATATTTTCTGTATATTCACTGTTTGATCCAAACTTTAGGTTTATAAATAGAATTGTTTTCACTAATCTCAAAACACATGAATTGATTTTTGTCAGATATAAAAAAAAGGAATAGCTAGCTACATAATGAAACCAGCTTCTGATTGAATAAAATTTTAACCCACTAAAAACATTTTTTTTTCCATTGACATTAAAAATATTAGACTGAAAGAACTACTTAACTGTAGTACAACAACCACCACTAGTCAGGCTTGTGAATTAACATTCACGTGTCTATAGTTTATATTATAAAATCATTGGCTGACTTCCTTATATGGTTAGCTATTATCAGTAAATAAAAATGGGCGAATAGTTACAAATTTTACTTAAAATTCAAAAGAACTGACTTTAATCACCCTTAAATATGTTTTGAGTGATCCAGTCGATCAAAAAGTAGTCAGCACAAATTTTTTTTTTTTACTTCACATTTAAATAAAACTGCCAAGTTTAGGGGTTGGCTTACTTCAAATCTTTTAGTGAAGAATACATGTTTCTCTTTTAATCAAGTATAAAAACTGTTTATTAATTGAAACACATGTAGCAATTGTTTTAGTATAATGTTTACCATTCGAGAACTAAAATAAGCATCTTATGGCCTGGGAATTTTTTTTAAAACCAAATAAATAGTCATTCATTGGTTATATATTTTAAATAAAGATTGCTGACTACTAGTTTGGTTAAGATGATGAAGATTTTAAAAATTCAAAATTTGTATTGGTTAGTGCTTTAAGGACAAAATGATAATAACATTCTGCAGCTTTTGATATGTGTACATTTTTTTAATTCACTCAGCTATTCTCACCAATTTATTGCCTTTTAAACTTCCTTTTACTTTGTCATACTTGCATGCGCTTACATCCAAACCAAACTGAAATCAAACACAAGCCAAACTATATACATTTACAAATGCCATTTTTATTATTCTTATATGCTTGTTTATATGTTCAGATTTTTTTAAACCTTTGAATCAATCAGGCAGGACTTAACAATGAAATAAAGTATATTTCTGTTTCATCATTCTTAATTTGTCTTTAATATTCACAGCATTTTTTTCTTATATGATTATTGACATTGTACTATTTATTTTTGAATAATGCATGCATGTACATATCTTTTAAAATTTAAATTATTTCTATGTGTGTTTGAATGACTGGCAAGTTTTCTTTTAATGGAAGGCAACCATTTCAAGAAAAGTAATTTGGTTTTTAAACCCCCATGTCAAGTGTAGAAACAAATCTACACTGCAGTTGTATGTATATTTTTTTTGTGCTTCAATTTGCCACAAACAATATTTTTAAAAAAATATATAAAAAGATATTAACTGGCTTCCCATTCCTATGTTATATTTTTTTGTTTTGATTTTCAACTTGATCCCACATAACAATGTAGTTTGCTCCCCTCTTCCATAGTGTGCAATTTATTTTTTTGCAATTTTCATGTGTCAGCTTAGTAATGTGCTTATTGTCACATCCATTCTTTTACTGTATAAAATTTAAATCTCAGGCATTTTTTTGTCAACTCAAAAAGTAGAACAGACTAGATTCTCCTAACCATTTACTAATTAATTTTTTTTTCAAGTGGTAAATCTATATTTATAGTAAAGACTAATGACTTTTTAATTAGAAAAATGTCTAGGACTATATGAACCCTACTATTGGAGTGATACTAAGGAAAGTTTTGAAATAAAATAAGGTGTATTAAAATGATATTGCTGTAGTGAATACTTTTTTATTATATAAAAATGCACTTTTATATACCTTTTTTAAAAGAATTGATATCAATTTTATGATGAAATGTTGAATGTTGTTGATTTTTTTCGTGAACCTTTTTCTTGCTCTTTTGTGTATTTGAATTGAGCTGAATGGAAGGGAAACATGAATAAAAGTTTTCAATGTTTCTTGAAATTGTTTTCGCAATCTAAGTTTCAATGATTGTCTGTGCAATGTCTTGTTCAATGATTGTTTTCTCTGACTCTATTGTCAGTGGTTCTCAACCCATAGCACACACACACACACACATAAGAACACACAGGGTAATTTGAACATATATTTTTGTTTACATTTCATTATAACCTGCTTACATCAACAGCATTACAGGGTACTGAAGAAAAAGAATTTATGCTAGGGAATAGAACAAAAAGGTTGAGAGCCTCTGTGATAAAAATTATTTGAAATATAAGCTTCATCATATAATAGAAATGTGATTATTACATCTTTCTCTTTTACTTTCATAAACTATTCTCATACTCCACTTTTTTAAAAGTAGTTATACATTTTATGTTAGAGTTTAGTTGTGCTTGTAGAATTTGACATGGTTTAATACTTGTACTAAGAACTGGCTAGTAAATGCATGCCTTGCTGACCTAGAAAACTATTTTTAGCTGTGTAGACTGCAAAATTTGTGCATCTTTTAAAATTAGATTGTATTGGTAGCTAGTAACAACAATGTTTATTTATAACTATTTATCTTCAATCAAATATCTTAGGTAGTGCTTTTTTTTTTTCATTCACTGAAATTACTAGCACTGGTTATTTAGTGATATGTTCAATTCTATAATACATTGTTTAAAATTTAGATGAAAAAAACTTCATAGATTTTAATTTTAAAATTTTAATTTTAAAATGTATTGTCTATATTATACATTTTTACGGACTTCTAAATGATCCAGTTAATTCAAGTCAAACATGTTTTTTTTTACTTTAACTTTAATAGCATGTATTTGAGTTGAAATAAATTAGATAAGAGATTACTTAACAGTTTCTTTCAAGTTAAAGTACCCAAATATGAAAGATTAAATACAAGTGTTTTTTGTTTTCACGTAGTATGAATTTGTAGTTTAGCTCATGTGTATTGTAATAGACAGCTGCATGCTTAACTAAAATCAATTTTTGTGACATGTTTGTATTTCAATCATTTAGAATTTTGTTTGATTTTTTACTTCATTTTGATTTTTTTTCCTTTATTCACTGTGTTAAAGGACTTAACATTCACTTTCTATTGGTAGGTGAAGATGTCTGTTTATGTTTTTGGTGATATTAGAGGTTAGTTTGTCAACTTGTTAACTATATGTAGATCTAGTTCTTGGCGTTTAGTGTTAATCTCACTGGACCACCTATTTTTCTCAATCGTTGCTACGCAGTCAGCCTGGGCCCTACCATGATTCCCAGCGTGGGGTTGACGTCCACGGCAAGTAGCACCAGCACTGCCATGTCCCAGGGGTCGGCGCCGCCTGGGCTAACACTGACGCAGGCAACCCCCGTCTTTGCCTGTGGCTCCACCGTAGGGCCACAAATTCCTCGACCAGCGCAATACGCCGCCTCAACACCTTGTATGCAGGTGGCCAGACCACCTAACCCATGTAACACTTCATTCTTCACTCTGGCCAACCCTGTGCCTGGTAAGGGAGGGAACTGTATTCACAATTCTTTTTTTTATAGCACCAGATTAACCATTTTATTCATTTTCTTAGAATAGGCCATGTATTCCCTCCCTTGGTTTTTCCGTGTACACTAAGTCAATTTAGCTCAGATTTTGTCTAGTTTAGCATCTGGTGGTTGGTACATCTTAACAAAGGTCTCCAGAAATTATTTGCAATTGCTTTTTAATCACTTGTATGGAGAAAAACAAATTCATAATACTTTTTACTTTTGTAACATAGTTAAATATTTGAATTTATTTTATGTTTACAATTTTGCAGTACTAAATCTTTAAATTGTTGAGCCAAATATGAATTATCATATAAGTTTAAAAGTAAGATATTTGTAAAAGTAAAAATCATTCAAATACATACATAGTGAAGGAAGTCTGAATCAATTAATTTTAAGTATTCTTAAGAACTTTTGAAAATAAGTACTAATTTTGACAATTTGTTATACAACACACAAATAGAAAGATTATAAAGAATTGCAGAATTGAAAAGTACTAACTTTAATTATCTAAACTAACATTCAATATTCAAGTGATATGTAAAATAGCAAGGCAGGCATGCTGATGTGAATAATTGTTTTATTAACTTTAATTCTTGTTTTGTATTAACTTTTGTATGTGCCTATTATTAGAAATTGTGACATGATTACTTTTAGAATATGTTGTTCTTTTTATTTGTTGTTGGTAATATTACCTTTGGTTTTTGTTGTTATTTTTTTTTAACACATTATTTTTATAATGCCTTGGTTTTTATTCTTTCTTTTTCGTTTTACATTTTTCAAAAGTTATTGAAAAAAAAAATCTTATTCCTATAATTTACAAATCTAGTCATCTTTTATTTTTCTATTGTACTCTAGCTGTTGTTAAATGGCACTTAGGAATTAATTAGTTAAAAATAACCTTAGGTTATATTAGATTGTATTGTAATATACTGTATGATTGTTATGTACATTTTTTATGAAACTGGCTTAAAAGTTTTAGATGTTTAGATATTTAGATCAACCTAATTGTCTTGTTTGTCTCACTGTCCACACACTGCCATAGAAAAAATTATTTGGCCGTGCTGGTTCATCTTTAAATCATAACCCATAGAACTAAGCAAGGCACACATGTTGAAAATATTGGATAGGGGGAGAATGAAGCAAAGCTAAATAATTTATTTTTTTGTAAATTTATTCACACAAGTTTGCCTTGTAATTTTTTAGAACCAGGAAAATAGAATAAGATTTTTTAAAATTCCAATTTTAGAGGAAAACTTTTTTAATTTCCTCCTCCGAAATCAATGGTGAAGTCCAGTTAACTTAATCTTTATCAGCTCAGTTTATGATTTAAAAACAAAATCAGTTCGAAATCATTTTTAGTATTAAATTGTTTTCCTGGTTCCTGTATAAATCTAATAAATATGATATATCTTAAAAATGTTATATATTATAAGATATATATATATATATTTAATCTAAGCTATATAAAACCCGATAACTTAGATGACTGGGCTAGAGATTTTCAGGTAAAGTTACCAAAATGGGAAATGAAAACATCTCAGATTGTTTACTTCCCTTGAAAATTTTCTAAACCAGTATCTCTATCTCTCTGGCTTATTGCATGGAATGGCTAAATCAAAATTGCGACAACACACCTAATTAACACAACAAAACATTCCATTGGAGTAGTTGTCTTTTTTTTTTTCGTAATTTCCTTTGCAGCCCTTGGCTCCAAAATTCGTATTGAATTTGATGCAAATAGAAAAAAAAAAATTCAGTAGTAGATGCTTGTAGATATCTAACACAAATCATCAATGCATGGCATTCCTAGTAGAGGTCTAGATATTTTTATAACTACTACCTCACTATTTCTTTAGCTGTTTATTTTTTTAATCTGTCGTCCATCTAAGCAACTTGTTTTTTTTTTCTTTGTTTCCCCAACAGTCAACATGTCGTTAACTGTTTTCTGTAATTAAAATTTTAATCCCATTTCATCCTTCGTTTTCATGGGACATCACTGCTGTGTTTCCTTGTATTTACCCTTGCATCGGAGCACCCTGTCCAGGCAGTTTTTCCCTCCCCTTGTCTATCTTGCTAGTGTCAATACAACTAAAATATAATAACTAAAAAAAAGCATTTAAATGTGCTTTTTCCACCAAAAAAGTTGGAACCTCAATGGTGTGTGTTTGTGCAATCCAGGGTTTGACCATCCATGCAATGCCAGAGCCAGGGACCAAATTTAAGCGCTCTACCACTGAGCTTTTTAATAGTGAAAAAAAAAATATAAATTAATTTGATATTATGATGAAAAGATAACTCTTATTTTTTTTCTTTTTTTTTCTCTCCCTTTTGTCCATTTTAGTCCCTGGCTATGGTTACCTCCCTTTGTCAGCTGCTGGTACTGAGCGCGCCATGATGGCCAATGCTGGTGCAGCCTATGCAGACTTTGGTGCTAATCCAGTAGTGTCCGCCCCACTGGCCCTCCCCGCCCCCCAGACCCTGACCCCACGTAACGATAGTGGGACCACAGCCCTAACCCTAGCCACCGCCACACACCAGCAGAGGGAGCTGATGTCCAGAGCTGCCGGTCACACTGTTGGTGGGTGCTTCAATGTTGTGTCATTCCATGTCATGTCGTCTGTCAAATGTCATGTTTAGTTGTCAACTTCTCTGTCGGCATAGACTCACTCAAGACATTTTGTTCATAGATTTTACCACACAAAAGAAAACGTGAACTAGTTTTTAGAAACAGCTTTTGTAGATCGTAAACTAACACTGCCAACAGTCATCAACAAAGTTAACAAATTTAAAACAAGCAGAATCATTTTTTTAAAAAGTATTTATCATTGATAATTAAATATTAAGAAAATGCAAAGACTAATAATTTCATTCTATAACGGATAAATTTGAAAATGTATGTTATTTGCACTGTAGACCTACATAATTATTTAGCACTGATATCGTTAGAATATAATGTGTATAATCTTTAGTTGCCTCTAGTAGTTTTATGTTAGTTAGTCTGCTCTTTGTGTTTGTTGTCTCACTTGTGTTCCATTAGTTTCCTAGCTCTGCATGTGTTACTTAGACCATCACTTTTGATATTCTTTCTTTCTGTCTCTCATTCAACTGTATTAGCTTGAACTCTACCTTTCTTTCTCATTATATTCTAAATTCTATTCATTTAAAGCATAATATATTTATATGATGAAGTTTATATGTTTTAAAAAAGAGGAGAATCGCAGAGAATTTTTCTAAAAGAACATCAGATCTGAGTTTTAAAAAGTTTACCTCCAATAGCATACGTGGATGCTAAAGACTAAAACAAAAAATATGCAAGAACTAACAGTTTGAAAACTACTTTCCAGTCATTATTGTGGCATACATGATAAAAAATTGACGTAGATATGATGTGTTAAACCATCTTAAAGCTGAAGAGAATGAAAGATGGAATAAAAACTATTTCCAATAATCAAAGTGTGAAAATATAAAGCATGCCAATGTTATTTTCAAATTAAAATATATTGAAATCAACATGGCTCACTAGAAAAAAAAAAATCAGGAATATGTGTAAAGATTTTTAAACATAATTGTCTAACAATAAAAATTTAGAACAAAACTGTTATAAATTTCATTATAAATTATCTGAATGTGCTAGTAGCTATTTCACATATAACAATCAGAAATATTAATAAAAAAATTTTAAAATATGATAAAAAATTTCTAAGTTAAAATATCTGAACAAAAAAAAAGCATGCCAGTTACAATTCACCACAAGCAAAGAAAATGTCTGGTTCCCACCTGCTCTGGCCTTCGAGACAATACTGAGAGGATCACAACTCAGTCAAACTACTTGTTTAAGGAAGCTCAAATAACTGTGAAAATAATATTCAAAATTAACAGAGACATTGAAGATGGATTACCTTAAAGACTTTTTTTAGGAAAAAATAAACAACAAGATCCATTACATCTGTAAAGTTTAAACCACACAGAAAGCTGCCACAAAATACAAAATAATTTTGAAATTAAAATGTAACCTAATCAGAAATTATAAAATTTAGTCCAGGTGAAAAAATTAAATTGGATTAATCTAGTCTGTTTTTGCTTGGTAATCTTAAAAATAAAAGATTATGGTGGATAATCTCATCTTACAACAGACAACTGAAGCAACTTAGCAGGTGATGTTGTGATCAGGTAAAGTCTGGAATCGCTTCACAAATGTTTTCATTTTGGTCAGGTAAAAGAATGTCTTGATTTAAGTTGTATTCAGGTAAAATCTGTCTTCCCAAATATTGATTTGAGTTGTATTCAGGTAAAATCTGTCTTCACAAAAAAGTTTTTATTTTGTTCAGGTTAAGTCTAGATTTACAAATAAGGTTTTTGCCTTTCATGAATTCTTCAGCAAATTTAAGAAAAGCCCAATAGTCAAATAGCCATAGTATGGTGCAGAGAGTTAATTTGTTCTGTTGCCTTTTCCCTTGTACAAGCTTATTTGATTGGTAGCTTTTTTTTATAGAAATATTTGTCAAAGCTGCTAAAAGAGAGAAAAATTGACTGTACCATTTGCCTTTAACATAGAGTGAGGACTAATAGGAAAAATAACACTTTTCTTTGTAAAATAACAATCACAGTTACTACAAATATTTTTTTGTGTGAATATGTATAAAAAAAATCTCTTCCTACACATCTTGCTTGATGTGTATAATGAGAAATCATCTTCTGTGTTCTCAACTATCATACTGGTGGGGATTTCCTCCAACTGAAGTCATAGGTGTCTACATGTTATGGCCTGTTGACTCAGACTTAAGCCTACTTTTCTTCCTGGATTTGCTTCCACAGCCCTTGTCCTCACAGTTACAATCAATCAGACAGTCTGTTCCTACACGTTTTGTTTGACTGGTGACTAAAACATTTTAGGGGCTACAGTCAGACAATCTGTTCCTACACGTTTTGTTTGACCGGTGACTAAAACATTTTCTGTTTAGGGGCTACAGTCAGACAATCTGTTCCTACAGGTTTTGTTTGACCGGTGACTAAAGCATTTTCTGTTTAGGGGCTACAGTCAGACAATCTGTTCCTACAGGTTTTGTTTGACCGGTGACTAAAACATTTTCTGTTTAGGGGCTACAGTCAGACAATCTGTTCCTACAGGTTTTGTTTGACCGGTGACTAAAACATTTTCTGTTTAGGGGCTACAGTCAGACAATCTGTTCCTACACGTTTTGTTTGACCGGTGACTAAAACATTTTCTGTTTAGGGGCTACAGTGCTTGGAGGATATGGATCTTACCCGACCACTACCTCCCCCATGAACAGGGCATACACCAACTCTCCCCCCACCCCAATGGACATGTACTCACAGGAGAGCGTCACGTACATCCAGCACAACGCCGCCACCTCCCCTCAGCCTGGGGCTTTCACTGCTTTTGGATTGGGCAGGGTAAGTTTTTTGTTTGCTTATTTCTGGACGCAATCATCTTCAAATGATTTTCATTTTTTCTCAATAAAATAAATCATTTTTACCAGTTAAGGTTTTTTTTTTTAGGAAGCTCTCCATTTTTTCCAGATTAAAATTATAGATATTTACTGAATAAATTATTCTTTTTTATAAGACAAGTAATTATATTCATCTTCTATTGGAAATACATTAACTAAAATTAAAATTAAATATATTTAGTGACAGTAATATGAATAAATTTTTTGCCTTTATAAGACAAGTAATTATATTCATCTACAGTTGGAAATTAATTAACTTAAAGATACAAATTAAATATATTTACTGACAATAACATGAATGAATTCTTTTGTCTTTATAAGACATGTAATTATGTTCATTTACAACTGGAAATTAATCAATTGTGGTTACTGGTGAAATAACTGTTCAAAAATACAATGACTTTATTTTGAAAAACAAGGGAGTTAAGCCACAGCTGGAGTTAAGTAAAACAAACCATTTGCCAGTTTAGCTCTCATGTTTTTTGTGTACCATTTGTCATTGCCAGGGACTTGTAGCCACCACATTTAATGCTGGGTTTCACTGACGGAGGATCAATGATAAAATAGGTTGTAAAAAGATTTGAAGAATACAAAGGTACCAGCACTAGAAGCATTAGTGTTAACAATCCCATAATACATCTCTCGTAGACAGCCGTGTAGCAGTTGTGTTCATTTCTTTAGATGCTACTAGTTTATAGCGGCTTTGGGATGCCTAAAAATCTAATAGAAGTCTTGTAGTTCGTCCTCTAGTTTTATAGCCATCAAATTTTGCTTTGTTAGATGACCTAGTTTTATAGGAAATTCCTTCATTATTGTTGTCATATAAAATTTTCTTTCCTGTTTACACATTTTTTTTTAAAACAATTAAAAAATAAAATAGGTTATTTTTTTATATTTTTTTATTAGCATTTTTGGTTTGGCAATATATTCTATTTTTTATAATATGAATCTTAAAAGTTTTGATTTAGTATGGTTAGTTTCACCTTGTATTTGATATTGTTTGCCAAACTGAGACCTTTTCTATATTTTTACAAAGCAAACATTTTGCATGTTTTATTAAATTACTACAATTAGTGTCAGGAATTATTTATCTTTTCCAACTAAACAAATGTATGCTGTTCCTTTAGTTTTTTAAAATAGTTTTATTTCAGAATATCTTCCATTTCAATTAATGAATGCTGTTCCTATAGTAGTTGAAAAAAAAATTGTTTCAGAATACCTTGATCTATATTTTTAAAAATCTAACAATGACAGCATGTATTTCACAGACACTATCAGCTTACACTTAGAAATACTGTAGTCCACCTAATGCAAGAAAAAAAAAAAAAAATTAACTGTAGTGCCCATACTTAGCAAATGTAGAAAATTTTACAATTATTCTTTACAGCATGTTAAACCTCTTTGATATTTAAAAAATATAAATAATCAAAATTCCTAACAACCCTTTAAATAATTAGTCCTCTGTAGTTAATTTTTATTCTTATTATGTGTATATTTTAATCATTAAAGTTATATGAAGACGGTTTATTTTAGAATCCATCTCTGAGTGCTTTAAAAACAATGCTATGGGTAATTTTTAGATTATCTTTAAAGCTCTTATTCAAAAGAAAGGATAATTATTTTAACTTTCGAAGAACAGACAATGATTTGACTGGATGTAGCTGAATTCTTTTTTTCACATGCAACTCTAAACCGTGAAAAAATTAATTATTTAAATAATTATTACTAATTGATCGTTATGTTTTTCTTCCTGTTCCAGAATCCCAGTCTAGCTAGTGCTCTGTTGGCAGGACGCAATTTTTAAAGACATTTACCTGCCGCACGAGTCCAGTGTGACCACTGGACAGGGGCAGTAAGCAGCAAGTGCAAGTCCAGTTTTTGTAGCATCCGAACATGCTACCCAAGGAAAAATCGCAAGTGGAGGCAATTTTAAAAATCAGCAAACTCTACCCATTTCTATACTGTGACAAATTTTTAAACCAATGTATTTTTTCAATGACTGTGGTCTTATTTATTTTGGAGCAACGATATTTTTAAAGTAATAACTTTCAATGTTGGATTTAATTTTAAACATTCTTAAGTGTAATTGTCGACTACATTTTGACGGTTATTTTATAATAAAATATTCTAAATTTTCAGTATACAAATGAGTATTTTTGTTTTAAAATGATTACGTTCCCATGCAGTCACCTTCATTTGTTCATTTGCCGATTGTCTCAGCCCACTTTGGGTATTTTTATTGTGTTCTTTATGAAGCATAAATTAATTCATATTTTATATTGTTCAGATAAAACTATATTTACCCAACATTTTGGAGTTGAAAATTTAAAAAAAAAATTAAAATTGTGATGTATGTTTACTAAGTGATGATAAACAAATGAAATTTTTTTTTATCCTGATATAAATTTTATTTTAATCTACACTACCCGGTACCACATCTTGTGGTAATAAGCCAGTAGTAAATACTAGCACACAATTCCAATTTGTGTTTATTTACATAATTGTAATAAAATAAAATCCATATGCAAAACTAATAACTTATAAATGTGTAATCATTGTGTATTTAATGGACACCTACATTGTAAATGCTCTTACCCTAATGTAACCAGTTATGTTTGATATTAATGCTTTACCTTTAAATACATTTAACTGCTATGCTTATAAAGTAAATCTTTTTGTTTTAAAGTTCCACATATTTAACAATATTATTCAATTTTTGATTAAGGTTTTAAAATACTTAACCTTTGATTTTATTTTAAAAAACACATTTTTATTTTGTTTTATTATTGCAGTAAGAACTGTTTTTATTAATTTTTTTTTATATATTATTCTTACATTCAAATTTTTAATTTCCGATTCTGAATTTCAATCATTTAATCCAGAATTTAATTTCTAATCAGCTTCTGCATTTTTGAAAAAATCTCCTTCAATGCCTGTTTGATATTGAGGAAAATATATTTCATCAAAGAGAACATGCAATGACACCTCTATAATTTGTTTGGTGAAAAACTTACAGGGTAATTTAAAAACAAGAACTGGCCATGTTTGTGAAATTGTGATGTAGTATGTCATGTAGTACAGCCATTTTGACCAGTAACTAGTCGTGAATTATTTCCTCCCCCACCCCCTCCACTCGATCACTTATTGCGACCATGACAGCCAATGTACCGTCCTAGGAAGTTGACACGAAATGTCTGGGCGACATTGAAACCTTTAGAAATGTAACTCATCTCAGGGAGAAACATCTTGTAGGTTAGTTTTTTTTTTAAATTTCCCGGGGACTCGCTCTTAAATTTCCATTCTGTGGTCCAAATCATCATCTAGTTTAATTGTCTTGCAGATGTGTGAAAAAAAAATATATTTTATCAGACTTGATTTTATAAATATTTACACTTTTAAAAAAAATATCCCTTTTCAGAGTTGGTTTTATAAACATTTAAACTTTTACCTCTTCTTTGATCTGATAGAACCTCATTTAAAATGTCAGTAGCTACTCATTTAGCTTTTAAAAGTGAAACAAAAGTTGACTTCCTCTGCACAAACTCATTTAACAGTAGTAATCTCCCTTTGAATCTTGTTTAACAAATTGTGATCTGAGTACAAAGATTTAATCTGCTTTGTTTTGTATTTACAAGTATCTTACATTGAAGGCTTCCATGCACCTCCATTTTCTGATTGACTTACTCTACCTGTGTAAATACTAATGTATCATATAAGAGTGCGCTGCCACTTACTCATGTCACAAAAAAAAACATTAAAAAATTGCACATGATTTTTTAGGTGATAGCATACTCACACTTGTAGGGACAGAAACTGGTTTAAATCTAGCTAGAAAGCATTCAGAAATTTAATATAAATTTATACTGAATATTTCCTTTCAAAGAAACTATGTTAAAAGGGAATATCAACTTAAAATTTTTTTTTAAAGTTCTCAATCAAATACAAAATATTAGGTGCAAATTTATTTAAGACAATCTTTTACCTTTGTGCACTAGTGTCATGTTCTATGCGCAAAAGAAAAAAAAATTAAAGTTATCTTAAAGCAATATTTTTTTCCATTTTTAAATGTTAATATAAAATGAATGCATGCTATTATAAATATAGTGCAAGGAATTGTGTGCACTCGCAGAAAAACTTTTTTTGTCTTGAGTTACATTTAAAACATATTAATCACATATTGGTTGTTGGGTTCTATTTGAGATGGGCATGGTGAAAGTAATAGTTTGATCAACAGGCCATTGGACTTAAAACATGTCCCCCCTATTTTATATTTCTTTTACGTTTATGATTGGTCATTCTTCTGAATTGTATACATTCATGTTGTTATGGTTTTTTATATTGAAAGTGTTAACTCTGGTTCTTCTTTGTGATATCAATTATTTTTCACCTCATTGTTACAAAGGCGCGGTGGTGTTAGCGTGGTTGGAAGTAGCAGGGCTGTCAGCCATTGAATGGAACATGTTCAGATTTGTGAAAATGTACAAAGGTGGAGGGTCAGCCCCAGTGAAATGTAGAGCTATGCCACTGCTTGACACCACAACACAGAAATCACAACAGGGTGTACAGGGAGGGAACTCATGTATTTAAACACAGGACTAGATTTCTTTCTTTTTTATCAGTCAAATTTTAAAATCGTATCGCTGCACAGAGTTGGATTGGGTTTCAAATATAAACCATTTTGGGAAAGCCAGATGTAAATGACGAGTTTTATAAAAGTTTTTTTTTTTAAAGATCTAAATAATCGTTTCTAAAAATTTCAACATTAAATAACACACACTACTTTCAACAAACACATGCGTAACTATGGGTGAAAGAAAAGTTGTTAATAAAATGATTAATATATTTTACTAATTAAACTAAAATTTACATATCCAAAACTATTTTAATATTTTATTTGATCCAAGAGAAATATTGAAGTTTCTTTATGAAACTTGTTTTGAGCTATTGTTTTTTTTTTTTAATTTAAAAAAAAAAGACTTTTTATCAAATAGTACATATCAATCTAAGAAATCAATTGAATAGATAAACAATCTGTCTCACTCCTGGTCCATTTATTTCCATAACTTTGTGCTGTTTGTTTTCTGGTTTGAGTGGAATAAAAATCTATCTGGATTTTAATTCGGTAAAATTTTTCTCTCCATGTTCTATAACTGATTCGTGTTTTAAATTTCCCTTTTTATTTCATTATTTATTAAACCAAGCTTCAGGTTTATTGTATCTTGTATCTGGCATTGGACCTTAAAGAACAAATTCACACTTAATAATCACATGACTTAATCACACTGTACATATTTACATCTGATATATTTGATTATCTTTTTATATGTATTTTTAACCACATTATAAATACAATAATTAATACAATCGGTAATTATTACTGTTATATCATGTTTTTCACAAATTAATTTTTCCTCATGTTTTGTTGTGGATGAGATGTATGCTAATATCTACTTTGCTTTAATCATAATCATTTAGCCTATGAGAGAAGTATGTATTATATAATATTAAAACAGATGAATATAAATTTAACACATTAAAAATTGATTTAAAATCAACCTTGAGACATTCAGAGTTCAAATTTTCAGGGTTACAATAAGTACTTTTTATGAATCATGTATAATGGTATAATTGATTATGAAACATTTAAATTAAATGTTCATATTGATAGTTTTCATTTTAATAGTTGGAATTATTGGAAAAATCATAAAACAGAATAGGAGAATGTTCTTTTAAATGTTGGAAACACATTGGAATAACTGGACCAAAAAGTCTTTCTGTAGCCTAGCTATAGTTTTTAGTGGATTGGATGAGGAGCATAAACTGCTTGTATTTATTTTTAAAAAAAAAGGTCTGCATTTCCAATGCTATTTATTAATCAGGAAGCATTTTTAAAAATTATAATTGTTGTAATTCAGAAATTTGCTGATGTTTTTTCTTTCTCAATTAAACCTGTACTTACAAGATATAAACTTATTATGGGAAGAAAAACAAATATCACAATAACCATGTACTTATGAGGGTACAATCATAATGGAATTTGTTTTCAGCTTTGTTTTTTTTTTATAAAGTACAAAGTAGCGAAAACTTCCATTGGTTGTGTGCTTATGAAGGCACACACACTTGGATTGATCTCAGTAGATTTAGCTTGTTTTTTTTTTTTTTTGGTTTGTTTTCATGTCTCAAAGGTTATCAGGTGTGGGATTTTATGAATGTTTTTTTTTTAATTAATTTATTTTTTAAAATCATTTTCTTTACTATGCAAATTTTTAATGGCACACCCTTCCTATTTTTTTTAATTTATATTTTTTTTTTGGTTATTATGCCAAAATGTTTTAAACTATCCCAAATTTAATTTTCGAAGATAATCCTAAAATTCTACATTATTTAAATAGATTAACAAAATATCATACATTATTTTTACTTGTGATAGACAGAAATAGTATTTATCTAGTACAAATTGTAGAGTTAAAGAGTTCTATTTGAAATTATATTTCTGTGATGCTTTCATAAAATCTAAATTTTTTTTTATGTCACCCCTTACAAACTTGAATTTTATTTATTTTTAGAAGTGTTGTCAGTTTTCATTTATTTCCACAAATCATGAAAGCTAATTTAAATTAGATGTTAAATTCCGAAGATCTTGTATATATTTATATAATGCGTACATGTAAAGCGAGACAACGTAAAGGTAAGATCTGAAAAGTGTTTATTTATTTTCCACTTGTATCTGTTGTTGATCCACATACCAAGAAATAAGCAATAGTCAGTGTTGTACTACTTTACTATCATTGTCTTGTTGTTTCAAGTATTCTCTCTTGTTTCAACTTCTGACCTCAAAAAAAAATCTTTTTTTTTTCTATCAGTTTCTAAATGCAATGGAATTTATTTATTTTAAAAAAAAAAAAGCTTTATTTAAAATTAGAATTTTTAGATGAAATGGAAAATTGTCATGAGTAGATTAGGAAAGCTTTAAGGGTACGAAAAATAAGAATTTGGAACTTATGCTTGTGTGTTTATCAGCTTAATCTTTGAACTAGTGGACCAAGTCATGCTAGATTTTTATTGATCTGCCTGATTTTGTTGCAGCCATAGCTATTTCTATAAACTAAAAAGTCTTAAATAATCATTAAGCTCTAAAAGGTTAGAAAATTTGATGACATATCTAGATCAAAATAGTTTTTTTTAAATATAGAAATTGATTTGCATGTTTTATTTTTTTTTTGTTACTGTCAGTACTAAACTTATTTAAAAGAAGTTGATTACCAAAAAATTTAATTAAAGTAATATCAGCTTCAGGCTTAATTTAACGGTACTGTCTCCACAAAATATTTCAGTCCATTTGTTTGCATTCTTTATTTTTTCCATGGATATTATAACCAATGAATTATTTTCATGCAAGGCTTTATATTTTATCAACCTTACAATCCCCAATTGCTTTAAGTGTATTTTAAAATGACAAACTGGAAATGGATGAGAAATAAGTGTAACTTTATTTTTGCTGATAAAACTATTTTGCGTAAATGTTATGAAAATGATTTTTCTCCAATAATCTCCACCTCATTATTCCACTACTCACCTTTGAAATTAATTTTATCATTTTTTTTTTAAATTCTGCAAAACTTGGGTAAATGTAAATATCAGCTAGTAATTTTTTTTCAGCGCTGCTTTTATTAAAGATATTTACAACTACTTAAAATTTTACTTGCTTTTAACTAAGATAAACAATCATTTTTAATAATATATACAAAAAATTAATCATGAGCTTAGGTGTGTAAGTTGAGTTAAATGCCACCATTAATTTTGGATGCATAAGTTGAGAATTTTTTCCGCGTGTTAAAAATATCAACCAGGTTAACTACATGAAAGCAATTTCCACAACCAGTGTTGCAATTAATGTAAAGGTAGACAACTATTGTTTGAACTGATTCTCCACATGCCTGTGTGTGATAGGTCAGTTTTTTGTAGGTAGTTCGACCAGGAAAAGCAGTTGTTGTTGTCTTCCTATTAAATTATTTTAATATGAACCTCACACCATGATCTGATTTGACTTGCACCTGTTTCACATTCGTTGCAAAAGAATGAAAAAAAAAATGAATTTTGAAGAAGGATATTTTGAGCTGTAAAATTTGTAATTTTTTTTTTATAAACATTTTCAACTCACCAAAAATGTCATTTTTTTTGAGTGACTTGTCAAATAAACAGTTTATTGAAGTGTCACAATATTGAAATATGTTGATTACAATGAACACAAACGTACAGCATGTTTTTTTTTTATTTCCACTTTGCACAAGTCAAATATTTTTGTATGGAAGAAACATGCTAGTCTTTTTCCTGCGTCTTTAGTTGTTATGTAAAATAGTAGTATCAAATATGCAATTATGAGAGGTTTTTTAAAAAGTAGTTTTAATAGTGAGAAAAAGAGTAGTTCCAATTTTGTATTTTATTTTAAAACAAGGGTAAATGTAGTTTATACAGTTCTTTTTTTTTACATGTGAGAACTGAGTGCCAAATCTATTGAGGCAACTGAAATATTTTTTAACTAAATTTTTTTTCTAAATATTTTATTTACATCACCCCAATCAATTCGCTTAAGTCCTGAATGTACGCAATCTTTTTATTGCTAATGGGAATTGAAATACTTTTTTCTCTGCTCCATTTCAGTTGTTCAGAATAAAACAAGCATCCTAATTGTAAATAACTAGGTTAATTAAACTGACCACATCGTTCACGCTACCTAGCCACACGTTTAAAGCTAACTAAGTGGTTTAGTTAGCCTTAACCCAGGCTATCTAGAGTGGACTAAATAGGCGCAAGTCTTGTTTGTTGTAAATATAAAACCACATCATCTATTTTAATTTTTGGTCCATTACTTGTTTTTTAATTTTCAGTTTCTGCTTATTATCTGGCCTTTTCCTCCCCTCCCCTTTCTTATAATTATGATAACATTCTACTTTGTCATGCACACCATTTTTTTTTTCCTCTTAAAAATTACAATAAAATTGTGTATCAACACTGACATGGGACTTGTTATAATGTGTGGTCGAACTGTGGAGTATTGTGTGTGGGTCTTGTGTTGGGGGTCTTGTGTGAATATTCTCATCATTGGGTTTGGTAGACTCAAGTTGCAATCTTCCAATCAATGGATCAACTAGTATTGTCTGAACCTTCCAATTTGGGTTGCTAGCCTAGGGTTGGAATCACTGTACAGCAGATCAAGTCTCAAAAAGAGCAACAACTCAGCAGATAGAAGCTGCCAGTTGAGGAAATGAAATGACTTTTTTTCAAATTCTGAATCCAAATTTGTGAAGTACAAATACTGCCGCAATAAATCCGGTTATGACCCAAACATAAATAATTCCCTTATTTTGATTCTGATATCCCACAAAAGCCTCACATCAGAAGCACACACTAAAAAAAACTTAAGTCAACGATGAATGGATATAAAGTGCAATATGTTCTATTGAATATGTACAGACAGGCGTTACATGGGCATACATGGTATAAGATATCAACGGTTAGATATTAACATGCTGCAGACAACAGTGGCTGAGTCTTGGAGGGTTCGCTTGAATCTAACATTTTCTACAATGGCCAAATCTGATGCACAATGGGTCTGTTTTTCCTATTCATTAACAAGTTTTAAGTAAAGTAAAAATATCTCTATGATCTGCTCAATATTAACAGACTGACACCAAATGTTAGAACATCAACATGTTATCCAGGACATTTCCTGATGAATGAAATTAAGACCCAGACAATGCAAGGCACATTAATTATCTACAGGTGCTAATCAAACCAAAGTACTTTAAGTAGATGTACCCTTTATATACAAAACAACTGCAAAAACTAACATAATAGTTACTTAAAACAGGGCTGTACACTCCAGAAGTACACAGTTTCCAAAAGAAGTGTCTTTAAAAAGCACACTTTCACCAGCTGCATACCAACAAAGATACAAAACAAAAGAAATTCTTTTTTTTGCCCCATTTGAAATTATTAAATTTCTTTTCTTTTTGGTTCTGTATTATAAAAACATATCTATCCAATTTAAGCATTTATAATCTTGTATTTGGTTAGTTAATATAAAAATGTATCTGGCATATGAAACCACTATCACAGAAGCAATAAACTAAAGCAAATAACTCCCACCTCTAAACTTCCAATGGTAAAAAAAGTAATAGTCCTTCAAATATTCTTACACCTCTTGTCAAATATTCTTACACCTCTGAGCTTAAAACTGTTTGACGTGTACATAAAAGTAATGGAGATTATTTCTTTATTTAACACAAAGCAATATGTACACATGGCAAGGTAGGATGTCAAATGAAACTATATTCCCCATTATTTGACTGAGAGAGTAAGCTACCAAATGCTAGTCTGCGCTCACATCATCAAAATACATGTCGTCAACAGAATTACAGTGACAAATTCGTATTATGTTTCCTTAATAGGAACAAGACAAGACAAAATATGTATTCTTAACTTATAAATCTAACAAGAATATCAGATTTCATTGACAATCGTCAATGTATAATAGAAGCACATGTATTAATTTATTTAATAAAGAATATTTGAATGATAAAAATTTCCTATAAAAATTGGTCTTCATTTAAAGCAGCAATATCATAATTTATAAGGTGACAACATAAATCAGAATCCAGTCACATATATTAATATCATGGTTGTTGTTAAGCATTCATATGAAACATTTTATTATACTCAGATAAAGTCATCGTTTATAAGTTTAAATTTACAAAATCTAATCATTAGCTTCTGGTGTGATATCCTAAAATAACTGCCCTTGTGTTTAATGTAGCAAGAGAGAAAGGAGCAGAGAGATTGAGCAGATTAGGTGGTGGACTAGCCTCAAGATGGCATGTTCAGCACTAAGAAACACAAATAGTAAACAGTTCTATGCACACCTGTAAATATGATGAAACCAACATGCACAACTCAACACACCATCCACTGTGGTCCAGTACTCACTCAATAAATAGTTGAAGCTCATTTGTCTGGTCTTAAAATTAGAAATCACAGTAGGTCTACAAAAACATGAACTAGAAAATTGATAATACTTTACACATAAGCAGCTACATGTTTTTACTGCTTCAACTTGTACCAAGTTACAAGTGCGTTCTTAAAGAAATATTTTCTTTTTCTTCACATCTTGTTAGAACTTAAAACCCAAAAAACAATTTTTAACTTAACAGTTACTTTCATACATGAAAATGTAAAATTCTATACATAATATTTGTCTTATTTTGAAGAAAACAAACACTAGCCAATAAAACAGCTCTTTCAACATCTGATGAATTTTTGTGTGTTAAAGTTAGTTATATTAAAAAAAAACAATCATAAAAAATTATATAAAGTATCTTAAGAAGCAGAATAATGCAGTTAATTTTCAATTGTAAAAAGCATTTACCTATTAGGCTAATTAGCCGTATTTCTTCACCAGTAAAAAATATGAAAGTTGTGTATGGCGGCGCTAACCAAACAACTTGACAAAGCAAGGATGGCAATACGGCTTGTCATTCTGTTCTTTGAACGTTCCCTTGTTCAGCTGTTTCAAGCAGAAGGCACAGACAAAATGCTCGGGGTGAAACTTCTTGAACATGGCGGTGATGCAACGCCCGGTGATGGGCTTCTCACAGCTCGCACACAGGGAGCCTTTCTTGGCGTGGTAGTGCATCTCGCAGTACGGCAGGCCTTCATAGTCGAAGAAACTACCCACTCCAAAGGTGCTGCGACATTCCTGAAACACAAGAAAACAATTACAGAAAGGTGCTCATGTCTTAAGTTTTTGTTGTTATCAGAAACTAATTTTTACAGAGCAGATTTACAGCACAATATAATAACCAACTATCTGAACACAATGTTCTAAATAGAAAATCAAGTTCCCTTTTTAACCTGATAGTCCAAGGTGGAAGGGAAGTAGAGTTGAGTTAACCTGTTTTATGACCTAGGCATTAAGGGATTGCGTGGTCAGCACTATGCCCAGCTGCCTTTAACTTTCCCTAATGCAAGTCAGGTACTAATTAAGAGCTGGGTGGACTAAATTACATTTTACTGACTTGAACCAAAATTCAATCTCAAGACTCTCAGGTTAGAGTAGTATGCTCTACCATTCAACCACGCCATCCCATTCGGAATATAATAAAAAATACTTATAAGCGGCCTATTTAATTTAAGTATTGTGAAGCTTTACTTTTAACACCATGGGTACCATAAAAGTTTACAAATGGAGCCTCAACAGCTAGGTTTATGACAAGTTTTCTATATAAGCTAACAATACAGGATTTACACCAATGTACTGTATATTATAGAACAAGGAAGTAGACATGAATGAATGCAGGGAACTTACCCAACACACAAAACACTCTGGGTGCCACTGTCTGTTGAGGGCTGATATGTAGTTCTCCATGATAGGCTGAGCACAGCCTCCACACTTTGGTGCAAACATTTGGAAGTAGTCCTCTCTGGTGGGGCAGTACAGGAGATATTAGAACATAACAATGGCAGACATTCAAACAGGACATTGGACATTAGAACATGATAGGCTGAGTACAGTCTCCACACTTTGGTGCAAACATTTGGAAGTAGTCCTCTCTGGTGGGGCAGTACAGCAGATATTAGAGCAGTACAGCAGATATTAGAACATGATAACAACATCACACATTCAAACAGTACATTGGACATTAGAACATGATAGGCTGAGTACAGTCTCCACACTTTGGTGCAAACATTTGGAAGTAGTCCTCTCTGGTGGGTTAGTACAGCAGATATTAGAGCAGTACAGCAGATATTAGAACATGATAACAACATCACACATTCAAACAGTACATTGGACATTAGAACATGATAGGCTGAGTACAGTCTCCACACTTTGGTGCAAACATTTGGAAGTAGTCCTCTCTGGTGGGTTAGTACAGCAGATATTAGAGCAGTACAGCAGATATTAGAACATGATAACAACATCACACATTCAAACAGTACATTGGACATTAGAACATGATAGGCTGAGTACAGTCTCCACACTTTGGTGCAAACATTTGGAAGTAGTCCTCTCTGGTGGGTTAGTACAGCAGATATTAGAGCAGTACAGCAGATATTAGAACATGATAACAACATCACACATTCAAACAGTACATTGGACATTAGAACATGATAGGCTGAGTACAGTCTCCACACTTTGGTGCAAACATTTGGAAGTAGTCCTCTCTGGTGGGGCAGTACAGCAGATATTAGAGCAGTACAGCAGATATTAGAACATGATAACAACATCACACATTCAAACAGTACATTGGACATTAGAACATGATAGGCTGAGTACAGTCTCCACACTTTGGTGCAAACATTTGGAAGTAGTCCTCTCTGGTGGGTTAGTACAGCAGATATTAGAACATCATCAGATATTAAAACTACACTGGACATAAGAACAACATCAAACATCAGAACAGTAAATGCTACATTAAAATGGCTCCCAGAAAAAAGCACAAACAGAAAAATATGCAAATACCAACAATTTATACAAATACACTTTAATTTTGACACATTGAATGGAGAAGTGCTTTATTATGCTACAATGTAGGCCTAAATGTAATCATTCTTTGCTAATGTCTATAAATGCACGATTTAATGAAGCAAAAATGCCTCTTTGTGCATCTTTCCAGTCACCCATTAAACTAACATGAAAGATTACAAACAACAGAACACAAACAGAATTAAAAGTACAGCAGCCCACATAAAGGTCTGGCAGTAAAGGGAAGTAATCCATACCTGCAGTAGGCCTTCCCATTCTTCTCATGAAAATCTTCCTCACCAAATGGTCGCCCACACTGGGCACAGAAGAAATGTTCCGGGTGCCACATCTTCTCTAGGGCAGTGATACATTTCTGAAACAATTGTTTAAATAGACACTGTCTAAATACTTATATATTTATGCATCTTTTGTTTAAAAAGTTATATTCTTCAGCCTGAGAAACTATTGTTAAAATAGCTATACATTTCGACATTATTGTTTAAACAATTGTATTTTTTTGCAGCATTTTGTTTGAATAATTATACATGTATGCAATAACTGTCTAAATGAGGTAAAAAGTTCTAAAATAATTTTAGGTAAATAGAGAAACACATTTGAAATAAAGCATGAAATTATCTAGATAGCAGTTATAAGCTGTGACGCTCAACAACACTATACATACATCAACGATACAACCGATAAAACAAAAATTAAATAAAATTCTTAAATAAAACGTTTCCAGGAGGCTAAAAATGTTCTTAAATTTCCAATAAGAACAATTTTCTCCCATCAAAATGTAAGAACCCTCATTTCTTCCATCCAACCACAATTTTGGCCAGAAAAAAATAAACCACTGAACAAGGACATTGACATTAGGCCACTTGCAAAAAACTGACATAAATGTTACAGAGACTTACATCAACAATGGGTCCATTACAATAAGCACACCTAGGTGTTACAGTGACTTACATCAACAATGGGTCCATTACAATAGGCACACCTAGGTGCAAACAGCTGGTGGTAGTCCCTCTCACAGTAAGCCATACCATCTCTCTCATAGAAGTTACGTGTACCTAAGGGCTCTTCACAGTGGGCACAAACAAAATGTTCTACATGCCAAGTCCGACCCAGGGCTGCAATAACCTACAAGTAAATTGAACACAAATGTAACAGCAACATTAAGGAAAATATGCTTTGAATAATCTTTTGTTTTCCAATGTTGTATTTTTAATAGTATGGCTAATGAAAAATTAAAGGAAACAGAAAATAAAAATGGAATCTTTGTGTAATTGAAGACACAAAAGAACTTTTTGATGAGCAGATTCAAAGTGAAAAGTGTGAAGATTTGTTATGTCAATGGGGTAGGCGTGGTCAAGTCGGTAAAGCTCAAGGTTGCTAAACCAAAAAGTCTCGAGTTCAAACCCTCGGGCAGATGAGGTTCGTTAGCTGGGGACAGCCACTCTTCTAGGAGAGACAACTCCACAATCAAACAACTGCTGCCTTGTAGTTTGTTCTTGGTTAAACAAAGGCTATGGAAGCAAATCCAAAAAGAAAAGCAGGCTGAAATCGGAGTCAATGGCCTCAATGGCGCATAACCAGTTGACATGTATCCTATATTCTGTTGGAGGGGGATCCCTTCCAGCAGTAAAATTAAAAACGAAGAATAAGTAGAAGTTATGTCAATTAAAATAATGTAGAGTATCAAGTCCTAAAATATTCTACAGGTGTATTCAACTGATGTTACCTGTCCTACAATGGACTTCTGGCAGGCAGCACACACCCCCTTCTGTTTGATGTTCACACCCTGCCTGTTCATGTCTGACTGTAAATCTCCCAGCATGCTCTCTAGCTGACCGTTCTCTCGCTGACCGTTCTCTCGTTGGATCTAATAACAGGGAGGAGGAGAGAAAAGCTGCATGAACACACTCTAATAAAGGCTCAACTTGTACCACATCATCATTAGTGTATTGATAGGTAAGTAACTTTTAAAATAAATGTAATGCTGTGGCTGGGAGGTAGTGCACATGAGTGATTACTAAAATCTTGAGTTCAGATCCTAGATTAAGTCCACTCTGCTCTGATGGGTACCTGACTCACACTAAAGGAAGTATAGGGGGCTAGATAGATATACAATCTCTTTTAAAAGATACACTAGTCATAGAAACAGGTGATTCAAATAGACTAAAACATTTCAAAATGACTTCATGTATAAAGAAGACAATAAAACCAAGTATGGATATGCACCATCTAAACAAGACTAACCACAGCATCAAACAACTGAACACACCACCACATAACTGAGCACAACTACACGCAGGCTTACATTTTGCTGCTGCTGCTGATGGTACTGTTGACGCTCCTGTGGGATAAGCTGCAGAGGTGCCGCGGGGCTGGTGGGACTGTTGCTGGACAAGGATCTGCTCTTTAGTGGCTTGGCATAGGCTGGTTCCTCTACCTCAGTTTTGTTTTGGAGCTGGAAAACAAATAGCAGTTTTAGTAAAGTAAAGATAGAGTATGTATTTAGAGGGGTGGTGAGGTCAAGAAGTAGAGCACTCGGCTAGTAGCCTTAAGGTCTCAAGTTCAGATTTCGGTCATGACTCAGAACTGCAGGAGGTCCCTGAATCCACCCAGTTCTGAAGGGTATCTGAAGCATAGGTGGCTTGGCATAATGTTTACAACATCACCACATGAGGTAACAGGTCTGGTGAGACTAGGTCACCTGTAGCAGGTGAAATGTGAATACTACCACCTGTAGCAGGTGTAATGTGAATACTACCACCTGTAGCAGGTGTAATGTGAATACTACCACCTGTAGCAGGTGTAATGTGAATACTACCACCTGTAGCAGGTGTAATGTGAATACTGCCACCTGTAGCAGGTGTAATGTGAATACTACCACCTGTAGCAGGTGTAATGTGAATACTACCACCTGTAGCAGGTGTAATGTGAATACTACCACCTGTAGCAGGTGTAATATGAATACTACCACCTGTAGCAGTTGTAATGTGATACTACCACTGGGGTAACAGGCATCAGGAATCTAGGTCACATGTAGCAGGTGTAATGTGATACTACCACTGAGGCAACAGGTGCCTACCACCTGAGGTAACAGGTGCCTACCACCTGAGGCAACAGGTGCCTACCACCTGAGGTAACAGGTGCCTACCACCTGAGGCAACAGGTGCCTACCACCTGAGGTAACAGGTGCCTACCACCTGAGGTAACAGGTGCCTACCACCCACCTTGAATTCTGACAGTGACATCATCAGCTCATCCAGTTCCTTTGTGGCTGTGGACGCAGTCTGTGGATGCTGGTATGATGAAGTGGATGAGGTGGATGAAGAAGCTGGATACGAGACAGCAGTGGGACCATGAAGATAGTGGGAATGGTTGGTGGTGACTGAACTTAGTTCCTGGTAATGTGGGTCTACTGGGAACCTGAAAACAATGCACAAACATTTTTTTTTAAACTCTGGAAAAACTAGATGTCTAGACTTGTATACCAATCTGTTAAATAAGGGATTTGATAAAGGGTATAGAGCAGCGCAACAATAAGTTCAATAAGAGATGTGACAGATGGTGTCATACCTGCCAGGTGCTGGTCCAACACCTTCAAGCTGGTCCAACAAGTTGTCCACAGATGTTCGCTGGACAGGCTTGCCAGAGGGCTTGGGGGCAACTTGTGGGGCTTGCTTCTCATACCCACCATTGACAATACTGACTTCCTTCACTGAAAGTTAAATATAAAACTTATTATAACAGCTGCATGAAATAGAAATACCCACCATTGGCAATACTGACTTCCTTCACTGAAAGTTAAATATAAAACTCATTCAAACAGTTGCCTGAAATAAGCTTCTACCCACCCTGACCAGTATAAGTGAGACCTATGTTTACAAATCTTAGTACAAACCTCTGTTATGTTATACGCTTATAAAAATACCATGCTAAATAACGTTCTGAATGTCAACATCAATAAATTCAAAACAATAAACACACTGAATTTTAATTTAAAAAAAAAACAAAACATAAGTACACTACAGGTATTAAAACAGACCACAAAAATACATGCTATTAACTCACCACCTAACATAAATTAGCCTGTTTGTTTTAAACTAACATTACATCTGTTTCAATGTTACAGCCTCCATAGTAAAGAATTATCTATCTAATAACGTCAAAAATATCAGTATAGATGGATCTCAAGTCTTTGATTCATTAGGCTATTACCACATACCTAACCAACATACACAGCTAGTAAGATCAAAGATCTTAAGTCTTTGATTCATCCGGTTATTACCACATATCCGCCCAACATACTCAAGCAAAAGACTTAAAATGCAGGAGTCTTAAAGGGCATGCTCAATTCAGGTTGTCAATCTAACATACCAGGGGCAACAACTGCTACAACCAGGGGCAACAACTGCTACAACCAGGGGCAACAACTGCTACAATCAGGGGCAATAACTGCTACAACCTGGGGCAACAACTGCTACAACCAGGGGCAACAACTGCTACAATCAGGGGCAATAACTGCTACAACCTGGGGCAACAACTGCTACAACCAGGGGCAATAACTGCTACAACCAGGGGCAACAACTGCTACAACCAGGGGCAATAACTGCTACAACCAGGGGCAATAACTGCTACAACCAGGGGCAACAACTGCTACAACCAGGGGCAACAACTGCTACAACCAGGGGCAATAACTGCTGCAACCAGGGGCAATAACTGCTACAACCTGGGGCAACAACTGCTACAACCAGGGGCAACAACTGCTACAACCAGGGGCAACAACTGCTACAACCAGGGGCTACAACTGCTACAACCAGGGGCAACAACTGCTATAACCAGGGGCAACAACTGATATAACCAGGGGCAACAACTGCTACAACCAGGGGCAGTAACTACTACAAAATGATGGATTTAACTATAGTGTCAAGCACTTGCAACCTGCTTATGATGAGTAGTACCTGGGAAAAGAAAGACTAATTAAGAAGAATTATGTTTTCACTTTGAACCTTGATTAAACCTAAGCCTGCTCACAGTGTTCAGCACCTGTAATCTAATGGAATATATTTTTTTTACTAAACAATACTTCCCATCTAGCGGATTTTTAATTAAACAGCAGCTTCTATTTAATGGGTATTCAGCTGAACATCTCTTTTCTAGTGCATTTTTTAAATTTTTAATTAAACAGCAGCTTCTATTTAATGGGTATTCAGCTGAACATCTCTTTTCTAGTGCATTTTTTAAATTTTTAATTGAACTGCAGCTCCCATCTAATGGGGCTTTAAACTAAACAATCTAAGGAGTTCTAATGTGAAAATGGCCTGAGTTAAACAAGGTAAGGCTTAAATCTAAAGAAGAAAAAAAAAGGAAACCTCAGGAAAAAAAGACACTCTTTGAACAAACCCACTATACAAAATTGTTAGGGGAAAAGTATTATTATGATCCAGCGAACTATAAAAATTCTGAGGGTAAAAAGTGGTAACATGAAAAATGTATAGGAAAAACTAGTAATTTGAACAAACTGACTTTAGAAATTTTCAGAAAAAAAAATTGGTAATTTGCACATGGTGACTTTAGAAATTTTCAGAAAAAAAAATTGGTAATTTGAAGAAGGTGACTTGGAAAGTTTCCTGTGTGTGTTGGCCCACCTGGCAACCCAACTGGTTTGGGTGAAATCTGCCTCATGCTTGGACTGACTCAACACAAACAGAGGAAGGAGGGCAACTATTTCTTAAGGTAAACTCAGAGGAACCAGTTCAAGGGATGGCTATTTTTAGACAACTTACTCCGCACAGAAAAAAATACTGAAGGAATAGCTTAACACACATTCAGTTAACAAAATAGAGAAAAAAGAACTGGAAAATGTTTTAAATTAACTAATTTACTACAATGTAGTTATAAAGTTACTATTCTTTGAAATGTTATAATAATGCATCTAGGAATACTAAAAAAATCTTTAAATTCAGAAGATATTAATATAATTAAGTAATTTTTTTCTAAGACTCACTAAGACGTATTACATATTTGGAATTCAATAATACATGTAACATTTAGTTCAGTGTGGCTTATGTTATTCATTTTCTAAGTCTTCACACATACTCACATACCAGATTATACACCCCAGAATACACAACCATACACACACCAAACATACAGCAATATATACACAATACACATACAACTACATACATGACAAATACATCATACATAAAGCCATCCATACACCAAACATACACCACTCACACAGAAATATATACACCACACATATAATGTGCATACACCCATATATACACCACACATACAGCCATATACCACACATACACCACACATACAGCCATATATGTAATGTGCATACACCCATATATACACCACACATACAGCCATACACCAGACTTACAGCCATACACCAGACTTACAGCCATACACCACACATACAGCCATACACCACACATACACCACACATACAGCCATACATCACACATACAGCCACACATCACACATACATCACACATACAGCCATACACCACACATATAGCCATACACCACACATACAGTCATACACCACACATACACCACACATACAGCCATACACCATACATACACCACACATACAGCCATACACCATACATACACCACACATACAGCCATACACCACACATATAGCCATACACCACACATACAGCCATACACCATACATACACCACACATACACCACACATACAGCCATACACCATACATACACCACACATACAGCCATACACCACACATACAGCCATACACTACACATACAGCCATACACAACATATGCAGCCATACACCACACATATAGCCATACACCACACATATAGCAATACACCATACATACAGCCATACACCACACAACAGCCAAACAAATACAGCCATACATTATACATACAGCCATACACCAGACATACAGCCAAACACCACACATACACCACACATGGACCTAACCTATCCATGTCCAGCAACAGAGCACCACCTTACCAGTAAAATAAGAATAACTCTGCTCCATCATCTTGACAGTGGTATCTAGGCCTGGCGACCTTCCTGCCAACAGGTACCAGGTGTGTGCGCGCGTGCGTGTGTGTATACCTACAGCTGGAGCTCCACTCCCCCCAAATCACGCGCATTGAACACTGGAACCACGGGCAAACAACACACCACCCTCTCCCCTTTCCTTCCTTACCTGCACCCCACTATACTGACCTAGTCTACGTATTTAAACAAGAATGATTCATTACTCTCTACACTCTAGGCAAAGGCGAGGAGAAACAAGTAACCTCCCCTTGGTTTAAAAAGAGCCAACGTTTAAAACAAGTAGTCTCCCTTGGCTTAAGAAAACGAAGAAAAATGTGTGCTTTTAAAAAATGTTTTTGGTCAAATTACTTGATTTTTAATTTTAGGTTGCACATTCACACATCTTCCCTATAGCCGCATTTTCCTTATTGTCGAATGTAGCAAACAGCTGATCGCATTACAATTAAAAAAAAAAAAACATAGTACAAAAAAAAAGTACAACGGGCTCCGAGAGGGAAAAAAAGAAGATAAAATGTGCCCGCACGCGAGCAGGGTAGGGTTTGTGTGTTGAGTAAACAGATTAAGAATCTCAAGTATCAGTGAACAGTTGTTGTGTGGTGTGTCCACGGTGAGGTATATTGTCCAGACCAGGATAATACCATACATGGGGTAGGTTGTGTGTGGTGGGAAGGGGGGGGGGGGGGGATTGTGCAACAATGAAAACATTAATAGTTTCAATTAGGTCCAGTGCTTAGTATCATAATTCGCCGAAAAACTAAACGTAAAATCGTGCGCTGCCTGTGGCTTCAGTGTTGGAAAAGAATGGGGAATTTAACACATGTACATATTTTATTTAAAATGTAATGCGTACTCCCTAAAAATGTAGCGAAAGTAAGCTATCAACTGACTAAAATATGTTATAAACTGATTCAATTTGTTTTTTAATTGAGTGTATGATCCTCCCCCAATATTTGAATAATCAAACATCTCCCAAAAGCTGATTGAGATTGAGCGAAAACTATACGCTAAATTATACAGAAACGAGTTTCAACAAAATTTTGATATTGAATCCTGAAATATGATAGCATACGAGGGAGGCAGGCCGCTGGGGCACACAGCAAAAATCCCAAGTGTCACACACTAACTTACTAAGTGGCATACTGTAGTAGACTTATATCGCTGAGTGGACTAGCGTGACGTGTTGGGGAAGGGGTGTTACCGTACAGCGTGTTGGGGGGGGGGGGGGGAGTTTATTTAGTGACAGTGGCGGAAATTTACGACCATGAGCGTATTAATTTATAAAAAAAAAGCGTATCAACTATTATTTAAATTCGCCGAATGCATATAGTGTTTTTTTTATCAATCTATCATCGACATTATCCTTATACATGTGTGAAAATGAATCCATAGATTAGTGTATTACTGCATAGTAATACCCACCACTCCAGTCCCCGTATATAAGAATGGGAACATAAACTGGTGCGCGGACCTTTGACCACAGGTGCTTTGACCATAGGGGGTTTGACCATAGGGGGTTTGACCACAGCGGAGCTTTGACCATAGGGGCTTTGGCCATAGGGGGTTTGACCACAGCGGGCCTTTGACCATAGCGGTGCTTTGATCATAGGGGGTTTGACCATAGGGGGTTTGACCATAGGGGGTTTGACCATAGGGGGTTTGACCACATGTGTTTTCTCAGCAGAGGGTCTTTGATCACAGGTGGTCTATCAACTGGTGTTTGGTCACAAGCGCTGTGCCCGGCTTTGATCATAGTGTGATACAATTAACACGATTTTATACATGTTTCCTGAGAGTAAAAATCAACATGTATTTTAAAAAAGCCAAGAACTATATTTTAGTCTCCACATAAAGGCTGGTGCTAGGCCTCATAGATTTATTTTAAATATAAATGAAACACAAATAATGCGACATATAACAAGTTTCACAAATAAATAATGTAGATGTAGGCCTACTTGAAAATACATAGCATATATAAAGGATAAAAAATAATACGTGCTATACTCTCCAAGATTCTCCCATGGTTTTGACATAGAGTTGTTTAGATGACTTGTATTTATACATGATGATTTAACATATTATTACATCATGTCGAAATTTAAAATATAATTTAGCAACTTTTAAAATAAATCCTTACCATATATGGACAGCATTGGACAAACCACCTGAGATCAAAGACCCTATGTGGACAAAACACCTGAGATCAAAGACCCTATGTGGACAAAACACCTATGATCAAAGACGGACGCAGCGCTTGTGATCAAACACCAGTTGATAGACCACCTGTGATCAAAGACCCTCTGCAGAGAAAACACCTGTGGTCAAACACCCTATGGTCAAACCCCCTATGATCAAACCCCCTATGTTCAAAGCACCGCTATGGTCAAAGCCCCGCTGTGGTCAAACCCCCTATGGTCAAAGCACCTGTGGTCAAAGGTCCGCTGTGGTCAAACCCCCTATGGTCAAACCCCCTATGGTCAAAGCACCTGTGGTCAAAGGTCCTAGGACCCATAAACTAATGTTAGCCAATATCAAACGCATGCTAATATTTCAACCTTAGGTAATAACACAAAGTAGCGTCAATAACTAATTAGAAATGAATCCATTTTAAATAGGTAAATAATTTATTACAGTTTTTTTATTGACTGAATAATCTAATGAATAATTTCGAATTTCAAATGTAAAAAAACAGTTTAAGTTAAATAAAAGTTTGATAAGTTTGATACATTTTTAAAAAGATGAGTACGTACGATTAGCAGAATGCCCCAAAAAAAAAAAAGAATTCCTCTGGGTGCTAGCAATCAAAAGACGAACAGGCACAAAAAGAATTCCCCTGGGTGCTCGTGATTAGCCGACGACCAAGACCCGCGGGTGAAGAAGCCCAGCACTAACTGCCTGTGGGGTGAGTACCAAGAAACTTGGCGAAATTTAAAAAGAAAAAAACTCACCCGGGATGAGGTAAGCTATAAATACAGAGGGACGCTAATGGGGTAGAAAGAAATTGTAAGGAAAGACGCATACCGATCTAAAAATAGATGGGCTGATAAAAATACGTTCCACACACACGCGCGAAAAAAAATGATATACGGGGTAGTGAGTCAGATAGGGAAGTGGATCTCGTCTTGTGCGACAGCTGTTAGAGGGCCCGGGGGGGGGGGGGGGGGGGGGGGCTAATGAGTTGGGCTCTAGAATAGGGTGATGAGGATCACGTGATGGTCCCTGTGTTGAATGGGGTCTACGATACAGTATGGGACCCTGTGTTGAGTGGGGTCTACGATACAGAGTGGGATCATGGAACCCTGTGTCGAGTGGGGTCTAATGCATGTGGCCTTGGGATTGTGCCCAGTAAGGTAAGGCTAAAGCCCTTTTACAACTGCTGCTATTAATGATGCGGTGCCAAAGGCTACTCAATGCTTTATTCGTGTATTTCAGCTAATTAATTAATACTAAGTTATTGCGACCATATACGACTTCCAACCAGTTTCTACAAAAATAAAGCCCAAAGAAAATATAATTCAGGACAATGCACACCTACATCTTAGAGTCCACAGGTCGATGAACTATTAGAGTGTAACAGTGGGGGGCAGGAGGGGGGGGGGGATTCGGTGTAGTAAATTTTCGTTATACCGCGAGAGGTCTAACATTTTTAGCAATTTAAAAAACATAAAAAATTTCGTCACAATACTTTGTTATTATTTGTACAATGCAACTAAAGTTTAATCACAAAAAGGGTTCAAACAAAACACTACACTTCAGTAATATGTATGCATCATCTCTCCTGAGAAAGACACAGTTTAGCGCATACAACCAAGCATGAATCATCCCCCCACTTAGAACCTCTCTCTGCCCCAGACTTCCGTCAACTTGTTACCACTTCTCAACACACACACAAAAAACAACTGCGAAAACATCTTAAAATAGCCTCTGATAATGTTGAACGTACAGTTCACCCCCTGCGAATAAGGGGAGAGGACTCAATAATGCAAGTTATACAACCAGTTACATCCCTTTGTTTGATGCAAGAAGTAGTGACATTTCTTTGCAAATTTATTTTAGTTTAAACACAAACTACATATATATATATATATATATATATATATATATATATATATATATATATATATATATATATATATATATATATATATATATATACATAATCGTCCCTAGTTAATACATATAATATGCAATGTGTACATCTGACTACACATTTAGTTAGAGAATTATTACTGACTGCAATACACACAACGGCCCATGCGATTGTACAAAATGCTGTACAACACAACATGAATGTACAACACATATCTATGGTTACGACAGTGAGCGGAATACACTCATGCAAGCAGAGACCAAAAAAAGACAGCTTCAAGACCTTATGAGGGCCGGACTTAAGTCATTTACAGGCACTGTAATATCACGTGGTTCCCGTCTTGCATTTTTATATTTAAGAATTTTTAATTTTTTTATCAAACAGGTATTTTTAACACAAATCTAAGACAGTGGATCTGTAATTAAATATTTTAAAACTATGGCGGTTACTTTACTGGAGAGAAAATATAACTTAATATATTATCAATCACTCGAATTTTCAAACACAAACCATATCCCTAACCTAAGACTGAATCGTAGTCCTAACCTCCAAAACGGGTAGCCTACATTGTTGCTTTTATTAACTTAACCACCCCCCTCCTTTCTTTTGTGATAGTCTAGTGTGGACACCGTTCCCGATAAATTGCTTTAAAATACAGATGCTATATTTGTGTGAAATAAAATGTAACAGCAAAGAAACAAATGTGTAGACATGTTAATCAAGGCTCTAATCAGAAGATTAAATCATCATGCAGCACACGAGAAATAATTACGACGTTGTGAAGAAACAACAGAACTGTCAGAGAAAAAAAATAATAACATGCAGAACAAAGTAGTGAACATAAACACAATCAGTTTGTAATTTTAAAAATATGTTTTTGTCAATATTTTCTTCTTTTCTTTATTGATTATATTTATCCATCTCAGTTAATTAAAGCCGACGCTTAATTAGCTAAGTGGAAGGGTTGTCACGTGATATGGTAAAATAGGTCATGTTGGTTATAATTAATGTGGTGTGTGAGAAGGAGGGGGATGGGAGGGTGCCTGAGCAGCCATTGATGCAGGCAAAGTGAGACGAGTGTGGCTGGATATATATATATATATATATATATATATATATATATATATATATATATATATATATATATATATATATATATATATAATTGTATACACACTATATTAATAAGAAAGCCAAGTCAGCTTGGGTCTTGCTGTTGTTTAAGAATGAAAGCAATAAACCAAAGATAAATAACGATGACACTTGTATATACATGGCAGCGAAAAATAAAATTAAGACAAGCGTTGGACAGAGAGGGGAAAAAATATAGAGTATAAAATGACGTCACCTTTAGGCTTTCCTTCGCTCTGGTCTTCCAAGTAATTTAGGAAGGTAATGACTGTAATATAGGTCAGGGTTAAACCGTTAGTCGGCAGGTTGGGACAAGTACAGACAGGTTAAACCTACCATCCCTGTAACAGTAGGGTCTAGTGTCACAGGTTAAACCTACCATCCCTGTCAATAGTAGGGTCTAGTGCTACAGGTTAACCCTATCAATGCTGGTAGAGAGCATGTTCCCAGCACTGTCTACTAGACCAGATCGTTACAATCTTTACGAAGTCCAGCCACGTTTTCAAATGAATTTATTTTCAGTTTCCTCATTGGTATTTATTTATTTATATTTCCATTAGACTAATCATCAATACAAGCCCTCTTAAAATCAAACCAATGCGATCGTGCCATATGTACTCATCCTGGTAGTGCCAACAGTTTTAATGTAAGCACCAACTTAATGATGACCGAACTGGAACCATGCAGCAGGGTTTTTTTTTTAAAGCAAAGTTGGGTAAAAATAAAGTTTGCAATAGTCTAAGCTGAAACAGCAGATGATGATCTACAAGAGAAAACACTAGCAGCCGATGGTCAAGTGTGGACATTAGCATAAGCCTGGCGGTGTTGTAGAAGAAAGCTACAGTATCAAGTTCACTCATCTAAGTAATTCATCTTTTTTTTTAGCAGTCCAGTTAGACTTATATAAACACAAAGGGACTCTATATAAACTACATATTACTGTAAGTCTCCAGTATATCAACAAAACAGTACTGTAAGTCTCCAGCTAACAGGTCGCCATGTAATACGCTGCTCTTGTACACTTACACTACTGCTGTACATGTCTCGTACATTACTGAATGAAGACAACCCTCTAACAAGGTTATCTGGCATTCCACAGAGATAAAACTAAACTTGGCTTAACACGGGGAACAGCACCAAATGGACAGCCTTCCCTCCACCGACGTTCACTACATATAGTTTACAACAAGGGTAAACTACACGTCAATCTCTTGACCTCGCTCTTTTAAATACTTCCATGAAACATTCTTGGTTTGGTGACAAACTATCACATTTTTTAAAAGCTTACAGTACTGTATCAGTTTGGACTAGACGTAAAAAAATGGTGTAAGAAAGACTGCGCCAATGAATCAAGACGCCACCGTCAGCTGATAACGTCTTCACACCCGTGACTCACCTGTCACAAACCCACCGAGCGCTCCAGTTAAAACAGAAACCGGAAGTAACGGAAGTAGTATACGGTGTACATCTGGCTAGCACGTCTTAGTGGGTTAGACAAGGGTAGTCTTGTTCTACACAAATAGGTTTAGTGCTAGCTAGGTTTAGAGGAGTAACACGTCATAATGCTAGCTAGGTTTAGAGAAGGTATAACATGGTGCTAGCTGGATTTAGAGAAGCTACTGATTTGGATAACGTAATACATCATTCATATAGCTAGTTATTTTTTGAGAAGCTACTGGTCATGTTGCTAGCTAGGTTTGGAGAACATAATACATCATTCAAATAGCTTGCTAGATTTGGAGAAGAAACTAGTCATATAGCTGGCTAGGTTTAGAGAAGGAACTAGCCATTGTGCTAGCTAGGTTTAGAAACGGTATTATGATATTGATGTTGACTGATATATTCAAGTAATGTCCACCTAACTCAACTATATTAAATGACTACATATTTCACAGATCTAACAGATTAACTACCTATTAGTATGAAACTTGCAAGAGATGAATCATAAGAAACCATGCATACTGTATTAAACCTCTCTTCAAACCCATCACAAATATACAGATTCACCAAACAAAAATATGTAGGACTAATATAGAGAATCATCAAACAAAAAGAAATTGTTTTAAATAAGGTTAGTGTGAACTAGAATAAACCATATTGTATTTAATTTGGTTCAAATATCTAATGTTGTAAAGGAACAAAATGAGTCTTAATAAAAAAAATCTATTACTTCTTATTTGGCTCAATGTCTATTGATATAAAACAATAACAAAAAAATGGTTTAATGAAGCCTATTAGGTTTTTTTTTTAATTTGGCTCAGTCACCAACTTTATAAACCAATGTTAAAATTAGTCTACATTGCTACCTCTAGGACGATTGGTTTGCCCATTTCTTCAGTAGAAGTGTTTTATTCTTATATCATTTTACATTCTGTATCCATTTCCATGGACATTAAACCTGACACAGTCTACCACTATTACCTTCCTACATTATGCATGTTAGTGGCAAGCTGCAACCAGTACACACACAACAGAAGACAACAGCTTCCCCTTGCTTCCCCACCCTCCCCCAACAAAAGGAACCAACTTACTGTTGCTGCTCTTGCGGTCAACCTCGGCCATGAACTGGGCAGAGTTGAGGTCCTGCAGGAGCTGGTCCAGCTCGGACAGGTTGTTGCTCAGGGCGGACATTCTCTCCCCTCTCCCCTTCACCTGGGCCCTCTGTTGGATGATTTGGTCACTGCTGTCTGAGACAGAGGAAGGTGTTGTTTCCCTTACAGAGGAAGGAGTTGCTTCCCTTACAACAAAGGTTTGCTGCTCGTAGATTGGATGCTGTGGACAAGAGTAAAGGTGTCTGGCTTAAGTTTACAAACAAAATAAAATTGAATAATGCAACAAGAGAAAAAACAAACTATTCTGATACTTAAACAGAAAACTCAACAAAAACAATATAATGAAACATGATTAAATCTAAATATTTAATTACTTTCTTTTACCATTATATACTAAAAATAAATATAACAAGTTTGCAGTTATATTTGATTATTTTAAGTGTGACTAAATGTCTGTAATACATTTTGACAATAGTGAACTTTAAAAAATATATAGAAGACTACTTTAATATTTTTTTTAACTATGCATAACTAATAATTAGTATCACATGTAGCAAGGACATTTTATCTAAATGTTATATTTAGACAAAAATATCTTGGCTACGTATAACTACAAGGGAAACTAAATATTATTATTTTTTTTTTTAAATCAGAAACAATGATTAAACAAACAAAATAAAACGCAACAGAAACAAAAACCCAATTTTAAAATTCAACAATGACTAACAAGTTTAAAATGCATAAACCTAATATTTTACCATTTTTTTTATTGCAAACAAAATTTCATTTCTTGGGAAAGTAATACCTGCATTGATGGACAAGAACAAAAGCTATGATAAGAAACCCTCAATAAGATACCAGCAGGAATAGAAGCGTACAGGTGTTTAGATTCTTACCTCTTCTCTTGGGTAGGCTAAACTGTCGAGTAACTCTGAGGGAGGAGGTGGTGGGAGAGGAGGGGGCGTGGACCCTCCCGAGTGTTCGTCACTAGAATTGTAGCTCCGTCTCCTCACAGTCACAACACCATTACCCTGGGGGGCTTGAAACCGATTGTCCTGGTACTGTGGTCCCTGGTACTGCTGAGCCCCTGGGTATTGTGGTGTCCCCTGAAACTGTTGTGCCCCTGGGTATTGCGGTGTCCCCTGATACTGTTGTGATCCCTGCCTTAAGCCCTGGTCCCTGTCGTAACTGGAATGTCCACTAGAGAAATTATAGTCCACCTGTTGCTGCCGGGTTCTCTGCTGGGGGTTTATACTGGCTGGGGGTGGGTACCCTTGGTCATCATACTGGTCATACTGCTGGACGTAGTTGGTACTGGACGGCCCAGGGTAATACTGCTGCTGTGGGGGCTGGTTGAGCTGGTACGAGGAGATGCTGGCAGTCGTACTCTGTAGGTTTGCTAGTAGGGCATCTGTGGGGAGAAGAAAATGTAACACTGAGTGGCATACACATGGAGAGAACAGTAAACATGCAGGGGTGTGGGATAATAATGGACATCAGAAGTAACATTCTCTGGTCCAGATTTTGATAGCCTGGATAGGCAGTCAATGTGGAAATTGTTGAGACACTACGGGGTGCCACAGAAAATAGTCAACATTATTATGTCTTCATATGAAGGTCTCAAATGTAGAGTAGTGCATGGCCAACAGACTACAGAGGCCTTCCCAGTACGGACCGGAGTAAGGCAGGGTTGCCTACTTTCACCATTCCTGTTCCTACTGGCCATAGACTGGGTTATGAAGATGTCAACAGAGAAAACGTGAAACGGTATACAGTGGACATTGTGGAGCCAGCTGGATGACCTGGACTTTGCTGACGACCTGGCCCTCCTTTCTCACACACAACAGCAAATGCAGGATAAAACCAACAGGGTTGCAAATTTTTCTACAAGCCTGGGTCTGAACATCCACAGAGGGAAAAGTAAAGTTCTCAAAGTCAATGCATCAAACAACAACCCTATAACACTGGCAGAAGAAGCCCTAGAAGAAGTGGATAGATTCACCTACCTTGGAAGTATTGTTGATAAGCAGGGTGGGACAGAAGCAGACATAAAAATAAGGACGGGTAAGGCAAGAGCAGTCTTCAACCAACTAAAAAATGTTTGGGGTTCGGGAGATTTAACCCTTAGAATAAAAATCCGGATCTTCAACACACTAGTAAAACCTGTTTTACTCTATGGAGCCGAGACATGGAGAATAACTGCTATAAATAAGAAGAAAATACAATCATTTATAAACGCATGTCTCAGAAAGATCCTGCGAATTCGCTGGCCTAAAACCATCAGAAATGATGTTCTATGGCAACGGACAAATCAACTGCCAGTGGAAGTAGAGATCCTCCAGAGAAAATGGAAATGGATTGGCCACACACTCAGGAAGCCTGTATCCAGCATAACAAGACAGGCCCTCACCTGGAATCCACAAGGCAGGAGGAAGAGAGGCAGACCAAGAAAGACCTGGAGACGTGACCTGGAAGAAGACATCAAGAAGATTGGATACACCTGGGGACAGTTGGAGAGACTAGCCCTGGACAGAGACGTCTGGAAAGCTCTTGTCAGCGGCCTATGTCCCAGTAGGGACGACAGGCAAACATGACATGACAAAGAAACACATAAATAACACAAGCAGTGTGATGTGGTCAAGCAGTAGAGCACAAATTTCAATTTGTTTGAATCCAGGCGACTTAACGTTATACTGACAACAAAGATGTTCTCACACAGTGGCAGTAATTCAGGTTAACTCTGCGTCACCATTCCTATCTACAAGACCCAAATACTTCACCTTAACCAAGAAATATAACTTTCATTTTTTTTAGTTCTGCTCTAATTATCTATGTAATAGAATAATTGTTGGTAATAAACTACATTGATTCACTTGATGAAACATAGTACAACCAGTCTATAGCCTTAATATCAAACACTATGTTGAACTATGTCTAGCTATTCACATTTCAATAACTCCTGCATCAATTAGAAAACAACAAATTATACCAGTTAACTATCAGTCCATATCATGGCAAACCATAGGCAACCAGTTAAAATTAGCCATCAAATGTACAAAGTCCATAGACTCCAGATGTCAGCTGTGTGTGTGCTGTGTTCTAGGGTTAAGAGTGAGCACAAATCAGACAGGAGGGAGAAGGGGTGAGCACACAGGGAAGAAAATTACTGACAACAAAAAAATTACACATTGATGGGGTGGTAGGAATGTTGCAATATTTTTACAGAGATTTTTTTCACATGAGTTGCAGGATGTTAAAAAATTAACACAGCACTGCATGTATGTGAGCATGATATGATAGCCTAGCTAGAAATGATGCTTGGCTGCCTCCACTATAGATCCAAGTGTAACTCATTCCCCAACCATACACACATAATAACTAACATTTTACTTTGTATTGAAAGTGAACTTTAGGCCTACTTAAGTTATTATTAAAAAAAAGAATATAGATTTAGTGAATCTTTTTGTTTATAACAAAATCAACTAATAAAACAACCTCTTCTAAAATACAAGCCTGCCTATTTTGATGCAATTTAGTGTTGCCAGCCATCCAAGAAAAAACAACAATGAACGTGGACATGTTGTAAAACACCTATAACAATGTGTACAATACAGGTGTACTAATAACCTGATCAAAAAGGTTTATAATGTGTGTACTCATGTGTAGGGCGTGTGTAGCCTACATCAAGATGCACCAGTTACCAGTGTGCAATGAGGCCTATCACGAGGAAGGTGTACAGCTTAACCAACGCTCAGGAGGACAGTAAACAGGCAAGGCAGTTAAACAAGAATAAGTAATGTAACAGTTGATGTAAATCTATGAGACAACAAGCACCCACCCAACAGCGATGTTTCATTATAAATTATTTTCGATTGCTAACATGTCTTTTGTCGCAAAGTATATTTCGTTTAGGGAAAGAAGAAACTTATGGACCTCTATCGATTTTTATTTCATATGTAAAAGATAGACCGGTTAAATTAATAAATGTAATTTATAGCCCCCTCCACCCAGCTCTAGACGAAGATTTGTATTGAAGATACAATTTTATGGCCGTGTAAACAGAGTTACGGCAGCTCAGTGTCGCGAGAACCCTTGTAGCGCCACTTGAAGCTTCATGAGTCAGCTGTATTGATCTGGTACATGCAGCTAATCAACGGGATGGCCCCCTGGTCTAGACGGCCTGGGACTGGTCCTTGTGGGAGGGGGGGGGGGAGGGTCTAAATTGGCCCTGGGAGGGGAGGGAGTCAAGGAGCTATGAGGGGGGAGACGCGGAATCAACCCTGACAACTTAGCTTTAACTGGGTCTAGGCGGCACGAGACTGGTTTTGGGAGGGGACGGAGAGTCAATGGGCGTAGGACTACTCGAAAGTTGGGGGAGGGGGGGGGGGTAGAGAACTAGCTGTGAGACTACCCGAGGGATGGGGGAGGTGGGAGGGGGGAGAGAACTAGCTGAGAGACTACCCGAGGGATGGGGAAGGTGGGAGTCAATGGAGGAGGGGGGGGGGGGGGGGGGGGAATAGGATCCCACTAGCTTTAATCGGGCTCGGACGACCTATGAAGTGGAGGGGGGAGCCGAGTTGACGGTGCGCTCATGCCGATCACGTGACTGGAAACCCACAAACGCGCGCAGTCTGAAGCTGACCATCACACAATCCTAACAGTACACGACACTGCAATCAGGCTCACAAATCGCTACAACAATAGGGCAAGCCACATAGGCTGGCTGATGCTGACTGAACATAGCGAGTGGCTACACGAATCAGCCATCACACTCACGTACTCACACACACACACACACAAACTCACACACACCACAACGATACAACAATTAGCACTCCCCTCCGCTGAATAAGACTTTGATTCCTCAGACATTGCGTGCGTAATTTCAGCAAAGTAAAGAAGAAAAAAAAAAACATCCGTAAATCGTATAACTCACTCGTCGTTAAGAGCGCATGTTTAGAAACATTTCCAGGTAATTACCCCCGCTAATTAATTGCTAATTAACGTGCGAAAAATCTAAATTTTCAGGTAAAGCTGCTCACAAACGGGCGTGCATGACGTCAAGGCGGCAAAAAACGCACGCACCAAAAAAAAAAAAGAAAAACTTGATAAACCAATTCAAATCACGTCATGAATTGAAGAAAAGTTTAAGGGTTTAAAATTTAAAAAAAAAAAAAAAAAACATATCTTAACTAACGCCAAGAATTCAACAAAAAAAAATAAAAAAAAAATAAAAAATATAATGAAATAACCATATTTGATAAAATAATCAAATGAATACATACATATTTCAAACTGACAAGTTTACAGCTGAATCTAAAACCTGTTAAACTCGCAACTGACCAAGTGGACAGATGAGTCGAACATAGCACTCGACTCAAGGCCCGGTACTTGGACGTTCCTTCCGTGGGGATCATGTGACGGTCTTCACAAATACAACAACGCAGTTCAACGCACAATACACATCCATGCGCTCTACATGCAACAAAAGGGAGGAGGGGGGGTGTAAACTTCGGACCTGGTTAAGTAAACAACTCACGTACAAATGCACGCGACGAGCGAAACAATTATTCGATGTGTACTAGTTTAGATACAGTAGAATTTGAAGGGGGTGGGGGGGGGTGTTCTTACATAAGATGACGGTACTGATAAGTAACGAGGTGTTATGTGAGAGATTGGTGATGAAGGAAATGTGAGATTTGGTATTTCTTATACAACATGAAAAAATAAAAATGGATAATAGGCGGGGAGGGGGGTCGATATTTGTAGATGAGCATTATCTTCACCGCCTCAGCCGTTCCTTCACTAATAGGTTTGTCCTGCATGCCACTACACATCAAGCTAATTAATACTTCCCCTTTACTCTAAACATAACCTCTTACCAAACAAAGAACGATAATTATGTGACATTATGTACACGTCTTAGAGTTGCCCCGCCTTTTATTTAACTATGCGTACTTTAAACGCGTAGAAAATCAAAGGGCTGTGGTTGAGACTGTTTCAAGAGCGAAGTAAATGTGTTTAACAGACAGCCAAGTGTGTAACACATAGTTGTAACCAGTGTGTACATATGCACATGACAGGGCACATACATACGTTACACATTCGATGTATAGCACACACCATATTGTGCACATACAACCCATGTCATAATAAACACTGGAAGTATAGCACACCATATAATGCACACGCTCAGTATGTACAACACACTACATAACGCACATACAACCCATGTCATACTACACGCTGGACGTATAGCACACCATATAATGCACACGCTCTGTATGTACCACACACTACATAACGCACGTACAACCCATGTCATACTACACACTGGAAGTATAGCATACCATATAGTGCACACAGTCTGTTGTATGTACAACACACTACATAACGCAAGTACAACCCATG